TCCCTCTCCCTCCTAGCCGCGCCAGGTCGAGCCGTCGCCCCGGTCGTGCGCCGCCGCCTTTGCGCCGCCGCCTCCGCCGCCGGTTGCCGACGCCGGCAACGCGTGCGCGCGCACGCCGTCGCCATCGCCGTGGCCGGTCGGCCGGCCTTGAGCCGAGCTGAGCCGGGTCACCGCCGCCCGTCCGATCGGCCCCGGGGCGATCTGGGCCGTCGGTCCCGTGGACCGGCGGTGGACCACCCGCGTGGTCCCGGTCCACGGTGGGCCGGCAGCCTTGGGCTGCTGACCCGGGGGCCCCACTTGCCGGCGCCCCTCTCTCCCCTTGAGCCGCTGACATGCGGGCCCCGCCTGTCGGCGCCGACCGCCCCCTTGATGACGTCAGCCCTGGGAATTAATTGCGCAATAAATTATTTAAGGACTTTTTGTTATAGTAATAAACACAGTGAATCTTCTAAAATTCATATCTAATTCATCCGTGCTCCGTTTAAGCCCATTCAAGTCTCAGTAAATCAAGAAAAATGTGTAGAATCCATTAAAAATGGTTTTGTTCTCTGTTTCAGTAGTCTTATAGCCTGTTTGTATTGTTTGCTTTGTATGTCGCTTAGATTCCGGTTCTTCCGACGCTCCGGTGTACTTCGAGATAGTCGTCGAGGTTCCTCCAGTTGCAGAGCAAGGCAAGTCATGCCTGTCACTTGAACATGTTGATCCTATATTGCAAATGCTCTATTGTTTTTCTTCAAATACTGCATTGTTTTATAATGTTACTATGGGATGTTTACCTATTGTTACAGCCATGCTATTTTGATACCATGCTCCTTTGTTAGCTTGGGTTATAACATGAATAGACTTTGGAATAGGAATTGCTTAGCCATGCTTAGTTCAACTAGCACACATTGGGGAAAAATCCTATTAATGTTTAGACTGTAGGTTCTAATGGTAATGTTGGATTAGTGACACCGCTTCGGTGTTGCTTAATTAAAATAAATCACATGGTGGGCTGTGGGTGCATGGTTTTGTTGGTCGCACCCATGGCAGTTAAGGACCGGTTCGCGGGATGCCCTGAAAGAACTTATCGTACTTACCACAAGCCAACATGGGCAACGGCTGGGCTTGTAGTGTAGCTTTTCTCTAGCCGACGCATCCAGGCAAGGGTGGGCGTGATGGAGTTTGGATGGGCCTTGCGACGGCCTATGCGGCTTCCGAATTCACCTAGGCACTAGAGGGGACTGCCCGCTGCCTTGCGAAGAGTGGGGGTGAAACCTGAGGTGTGGTGTGCTTGGTTAGAGGGGGTTATGCGAAGGGTCCTGTCACGGCCTCTTTCCAGTATGTCGTGGTGGCATGTCGGCGCACGGAAACGTGTCGTGGGGCTGTGTCTTGTGGGTACAGTTGTACACCTCTGATCAGAGTAAAACTATTCGAATAGCCGTGCCCGCGGTTATGGGCAGTCAACCAGATTCACCGTGATTAGTCTCACCCTAGTTTAGTCTAATGAAATTGGATAGTATAGGTGGATGGTTGGGCTTGTCGCAACGTGGTATAGCGTTGGACAGTGGATGAATAATATGATTAATTATTACAACTGTTTAATTCTTTCAACTTCTGTTTATAAATGCTCGCTTTATGCAAATGAACCACTCTAGCTCTCCTTTGATAATTCCCTGCATCATACCCCTATTCCGGTATGACTTGCTGAGTACAGTGGGTAGTACTCAGTCTTGCTCTATTTTCCCCAACCCCAGAGTATGAGTATGTGTCAGATGGTGGTTTCTCCGAAGAGTAGGCTTCGTCTGTGCCGTCGAGGATGCCTGTGGAGTGGTGTTCCCGCTGCAGATCAAGTCAAGGCTTAGCTCCTGTTATCTTTCGTTTTTCCGCTGCATTTATGTAAGACTTTTATGATGTTTGTAAGACGTGGATCTGAATGTCAATATTGTCATTTGTGTACCCCGGCCGGTCCTGGACGGGGATTTTAATGCACATTCTGCTTGGAATTCTATTCGGGAATTTCTGGGCGTGACACCTGATTTCTCCTGACTTAATGAGGGTAATTGAGGATTTTCAAAGAGGGAACATTGACATTGAAAGACTAAATTATGGAGTAATCACTTTGGTGCCAAAAACAAAGGATGCAATGCAAAAACAAAAATTTAGACCAATATGTCTATTAAATGTCAGTTTCAAAATTATAACAAAAATTCTCATGCTAAGATTAAGAAAAGTAATTGAGTACTTGATTTCACAGAACCAGACTGCCTTCATAAAAAATAGGAATATTATGGAAGGAGTACTAATAATGCATGAAATTTTGAATACAATGCACAGGAAAAAACAAAAAGGGATCTTATTCAAAGTAGATTTTGAGAAAGCCTACGATAAAATAAACTGGGATTTCATTTTTCATATTCTTCAAGCAAAACTTTTCCCTGAGATTTGGTGTGATTGGATTATGAAAACAGTAAGGGGAGGTAAAGTTGCAGTAAAAGTCAATGATCAAATTGGGCCCTACTTTCAGACTCACAAAGGGGTAAGGCAAGGAGACCCTTTGTCCCCACTTCTCTTTAACCTAGCTGTTGAAGCTTTAACAATTATGATACAAAGGGCTGAGAGAGAACAGTTAATTCAGGGGTTGGGGACTGGTGTTGATAGCAGAATTGCAATCCTCCAATATGCTGATGACACGATTTTTTTGATCCAAGATAACCCAGAATATGCAAGAAATTTAAAAAAAGTGCTCTGCATTTTTGAGCAACTTTCAGGTCTTAAAATTAATTTTAACAAAAGTGAGGTTTACTGTTTGGGAGAAGCAGCACAAAACCAAGCTGTATATAGTCAGATTTTTACTTGCAATATTGGAAGCTTCCCTATGAGATACTTGGGCTTCCCAATTGATCAAAAAAGACTTCTGAATAAAGATTGGAAACAGGCAGAAGGGAAAATTGAGAAAAAAGTTGGATGTTGGCAGGGTAATTTCCAATCGATTGGGGGGAGGGTGACTCTGATTAATGCCTGCCTCAGTAGCACCCCACTTTACATGCTGTCTTTTTTTAGAGTTCCTATTGGGGTTAGAGAAAAAATGGATTTTTTTAGAAGAAGATTTTTATGGCAGGAAGATCAGGGGATTAGAAAATATCACCTGGTTAATTGGCACACAGTTTGCTCTCCCAGAGAGATTGGTGGGTTGGGGATCCTTGACATGGAATTCATGAATATTGCTCTGTTGGGGAAATGGATTTGGAATCTTGAGAATACTGATGGTTTGTGGCAACAGATGATCAGAGAAAAATATTTATCCAAACACATTCTGTCTGCCACTAAATTAAAAGCAGGAGCCTCTCACTTTTGGCAAGGGATAATGGAAGTCAAAAACATCTTTTTCAAATTCTGCACAAAGAAACCTGGAAATGGTAAAAACATCTTATTCTGGGAGGATAACTGGTTGGGTGGTAGACCTTTGGCAGATCAATTTCCTCTCTTGTATAGAATAACAAACAATCAGTTTGTGACTTTGGCAAAGGTGAAGGAGATAGGTTGGGCTAGCATGACCTTTCGAAGGAATTTGATGGGTGATAGATTAGTTGACTGGAATAGGATCAAAACTTCCTGTGATGAGCTGGTCTTGAGTGACCAAAAAGATGTCACTGTTTGGAATCTGACAAAAAATGGGATGTTCAGTGTTAAATCTTTCTATAAGGCTTTGAAATTTCAGGAAACATCAACTGGGGTGAGGGAATCATACAAAAAAATCTGGAAAATTAAGGTTCCTCTGAAAGTTAGGATTTTTCTGTGGTTACTGACTAAAGGAAATGTTTTAACCAAAGACAATCTAATCAAAAGGGGGTGGAAGAAGGGGAATGATCTGTGTCAGTTAGATTTACTTGGAACATTGTGATATGTGCTTTTAACTTGAAATAGATTAAAGACCTGAAGCACTTGCTAAGCTCTTGGATTCAAACTTGTGATAAAATAACAAAACAATTGATGTTAGTGGGTGTGGCAGCTGTTATCTGGGCTATTTGGAAAGCAAGAAATAAAGCCTGCTTTGATCATATTTTACCAAATAGCCCTGTTGATATCTTGTATAATTCCTGCTCTCTAATGTTGGATTGGGCCATTTTGCAGAGTTCGGAGGAAAGGCAAGGAAAGTTGCAATGGGGAGTACAACTGCTAAAGCAAATAGCAAATGAAGTTTTTAAATCACAATTTGGGTGGCGTCTTGGACAGAGAAGACTGCTCAATGGCTGATGGCGTTTACTGGAGATAGTCGATTATGGGCTTTTGTCTTACTAGGTAGTTTGATCTTCTGTTTGGCTCTGTGTGGCAGAATTGGAGTTCTTTCTTTAGGAAAACTTTAGCTTGTGCTTTAGGCATGATGTCATTTTGGTCTTTCAGACTCTGTTTCTTGTAAGAATATTTACATTTCTTTAATGGAAATGGAGGGCATCGCCCTTTGCTCAAAAAAAAAATTAAATAGCCCTCTGGAATCTTGCTATTTAGGATTATTAAACGTAGATTACCGACAAAACCGATTCCATAACCCCTAGGCTATTTTGCGAGACGAATCTAATGATGTATATTAATCCATAATTAGCGGCTGATTACTGTAGCATCACCGTAGCAAATCATGGATTAATATACCTCGTTAGATTCGTCTCGCAAAATAGCTTAGGGGTTATGAAATGGGTTTTGTCAGTAATCTATGTTTAATACTTTTAAATAGCAAGATTCTAGAGGATTATTTAATAGCCCTCCTGATCCAAACAGGGCCCATGTCTAGGAATGCAACGTGACAAACTACACGCAAGTTTCGCTGTGCTATACATACACACAGAGTGACAGACAGCAGCTCGAATTCAAACTGGGCTATGCTATTGCTACCCCTGAAGATGCTGCAATTTCGCACGTAGTACATGATACAACGCACTACCTACATATCCTGCCTACAATCCCATGGAAAAGAACAGTTTCACAACCAGAAAACAGATTCTCCTTGAACAAGTATTAGCAGAAATACCAAAATAAACAAACTGGTAGATTAGATCATCAAATGGAGCCGCATACGGCATACAACATTCCAAGGCCACATCTTAGAAGTTTAATTACCCGGCAAGATCAAGAACACAGCAAGATCACGGGCATAAGAGAAACAAAAACAACATCAAGGTAATCAAAACCGGTAAAACATGCATAGGTAGGCAGCAGCCAAACAACATGCATGACGACGACTCAAGCATCCATCTCCTGAATCAGACAACTCCAAAAAACTACTCATCCATCTTCCTGGAACATCTAGTCATCCCTGGCACTGTTGAACCTGCCAATGAAACGCTGAAGAGACAACGAGATCGAACTAGTTTAGAATTAGTGCTACACACAAGAAAGCTAATTAACAGTAATTAGACGGGTAGGCATGCAAAGATCCAATCTTTAATTAATTACCATGATGGTGGGCGTGACGAAGACGAAGTTGGCGTCGGAGAAGACGGCGGCGATCGTCCACTGCAGCGACGTCGGCGCCACTCCACCGGCGGCGATGTAGGTGAAGAAGTAGCTGGAGATGCACAGCGAGGTGACGACGCCGGTCAAGACGCCGACCGCCCACGCGGCGCACCTCTCCTCCCTCGTCGTCGTCGCCGGCGGCGCGGGCCCGACGGCCTCCTCCACGAAGCACGCGATGAAGGCCTGCGACGCCGCCGTGAGCACCGCGAAGACCGCGCAGGTGACGGCGTCGTTCAGGCCGCCGGATCGCCGACGGGCGGCGGCGGCCTCCGGGGAGGCGATCGACGACATCAGCCTGCAGAACAGCGAGCCGGCCGACGTCGCGACGTACACGACGACCAGGAAGGACATGAACTCGCCCTGGGATTGATGGAACGGATCGGATCAGAGAAATCGAGCACAAGAACACGTACACATCGTGACAAGAAGTGCAGAAAATTCAGAGGAGGAAGAGAGGAGTCGTCTAGGGTTTCACCTTTGGTGAGATCACTCGCAGCCATGCTATGCTACTCTTCTTCTTGACTGCTTATGTCGTGTGTTTGGTGGACTGGAACTTGTTGCTTATGCCTGCTGATATATAGGCTTAGTGTTCATGATCCAGTGATCATCCTAGAGGTCTCAAACTCCCAATTGAACTGGTCAATATTGGCAGTATTAATTCCAGCTTTGGCAAATTTTGGAAAGAGGCGAGCCTGCAGGAGTACAGACTGGACGCAGTACTCCTTTCTTGCTTTTTCACTTTTCAGTGGTTTTTCAGCTGCTCGAGCTCGAACTCGCGCTTATTGATTTCACTAGCGAGCAACGACAAACCAAACCACGCATGCTCTGCGTGGGGCATGATACTGCAGCTACTACTTACTAATCCCTCCGTCCTAAAATAAATCAATTTTTAGATTTCAAATTAATTCCAAAATAAACTAACTTCTACCATATTACTATCACCAATCCGCAAAACGAGAAATTTTATTACTTCAATACCCCTCACCTACCCATTATTCAATACAACATTCATATTAATTAAGGACATTGTGGTCTTTTGTTTCTCTCTTTAAAAGCTCCTTGGCAAGTTAGGTTTGCTTTATTTAGGAAAAGAGGGAGTACTCCGTAGACTGGTTCCGAGTGTCAGCTTCACTGTACCAGCGGTGCTGCACACACAGGCGCAAGCAAATGCCCAAGGCCCAAGCTTGTGAATTTATGAATTATGATGAAAACGGAATCACAAAAGGTTATTATACTCATCAAGATTTGCTTTGGTCTAACAAAAAAAATATCTCGAGATACCAATAAGGTGCCAAAACTATGGTGTTTTGTTGCACTTTATAGCACTGCGTTTTGTGTTTTCTGTTGCACAACTAGTTGGTTTGGCTACACAATATAACCATTCGGACGTGTTCTTTTTTTGGAAAAAAAAAGTCTGTGATATCATTTCACGGGCACACGGTCACCAACGCGCCTGGTGAATGAAACCCAATACACAGAAAACATATTCCCCTCCAGCACATAGAAAAGAACAGTTTTAAGAAATAGAAGGTGAAAAAACATACTCCATCCGTTTCAAAATATAAGGCACAACTACCCTTAACCTAAAGACCAAGAAATAATTATTATCATCTTGTAGTTTAGATCATCCTAATAAATACAATGTATACAATGTATGCATCTAATAGGATTAGATAACATGAGAGTGGAGGATTTAAAAAAGTTATAATTTAATGGAGAAGATGTCATAGTTTATTGCATGCTTGCATGTATACCTTATATTATATTATGTAACATCTAAAAAAAGTGGTTGTGACTTATATTATGGAATGGAGGGAGTAGTAGTCTGCAAGTTTCCATTTCATAATTAAGGTCTAGCAAGTACTGGATCCATGGAGATCATACAGAAACTACAGCAAAGTTCACGAACAAAGCTAGGGCAATGAAATAACAAGGTACTATTGATTGATAAACTACTGGTAAACACGCCGGATCGAGCAGTCATCTCCAAAAAAACTCCAGCTTCCTTGGCTCCTGGCAGATCTACGACTCGTTCTTGGCCGGGTTGCTCACACCCAAGTGACGCTGAAGACAACGAGAAAGAAAGTTAGCAAGAACACAACAAAGAAGCGAAGAACAGCTAGTATAAGATCGAAAAAGAAGAAGAAGAAGATTTTACCCGGACGGTACGCGTGGCGATGGCGAGGTTGGCGGCGGAGGCGACGCCGGCGGCCGTCCACTCCAGCGAGGTGGGCGCCACGTTGCCGCCGAGGGCGATGTAGGCGACGAAGTAGTTGGTGACGCACATCCAGCTCACGGCGGCGACCAGCCACGGGAGCCGGCCGCCGCTGGCCGGGCGCCTCGCCACCGCCGCCGCGGCCGCGGCGGGCTTCTCCTCAAGGACGCACGCGAGCATGGCCTGCATCGCGAGCGTGAGCGCCGCGAAGGACATGCAGGTGGCGCCCAGGCCGTCGGAGCGCCACGCGGCGAGGCGCGCCCCCAATATCCTGCGCCCGATGGATGCGGCGATCGTGGAAGCGTACAGGACGATGAGAAAGGCGAGCAACCTCCCCTGAGAGATGTACAAAACCAGGAACGCAAGCAGGGGGTGAAGTCATGAAAAGAAATCTCACGGGAAGGAGTTTTTTTTTTTTTTTTACCTCGTTGATACCGCTCGCCATGGTAGTGTTAGCCATGGCCTTGTGACCTATGTGAGCTGTGTCGCCTACCAATTGTAAGTATGGAGTGGTTCTTGATATGGGGTCATGGGGATGCAATGCTTGCTTGGCTGCTTATATATATGGGTGCTATGTTCATGAAGCGATCATACAGGCGTACTACATTCTACTACACTGTACACCCAACATTGAATTCTTTCTTTCACTCACTTTTGACCTGGTCGCTGGCCCGTGTCAGGGAAACGATACGCTGGTTGATTTCTGATTTCCAGTAGCGAGAGCACGAGCAGCAGCGGCAAACGATACGCTTGGTACTTTGGCAGTGCAGCAGCGCCATCGACGGATGGTTCGTTCGCCTCTGCCACGACGCTGGACTGGTTTTGAACGAACACGCAAAGCGGACAGCAGCGGTGCAATGCAACCGTGTATAGTCGGCAACGGCTCGATCGATTGATTCCGTCGTGAGACGTGGAAGCGCAATGAAGTGACAAACGAGTGCAGTACGAGAGAGACGAATAAGTTCACCGGAGGTCTCTCAACTTAACAGCGAGATTTTTTAATGTCCCTTAACTATAAAATCAGAAATGTATACCCCTAAACTCATATAAACCGTACACACAAGGTCCTATGGCAGTAAACATGGGTGGTTTCACTGACGTGGCATCCTAGTCAGCAAAAAAAAATTTAAAAAGTATGTGGGGCCCACATGTCAGCTGCAAATCTTTTCTTTTCTTCTCCTTCTCTTCTTTTTTCTCTCTTCTCTCTTCTCTTCTCCAAGGCAGCGGCGGGCGAAGTGGCGATGGGGGAGCATAGCAGCGGAGCAGCGGCTGGCGGGTGAGCGCGGCGTACGGCACAGGCGACCTCGGAGACGTTCGTGCACACCTTGTTGTGTCGGTCCTTGCTCCTGGACGCGGCCCGACGCCCCCCGGCCTGCTGTCGCTCCGCCCGCCCCGCCGCCACTCCGTCCGCCGGCATGCTCCTGCCGCCGCTCCCCGCGAGGACGAGGGAGACCAAAGAGGAAGAGAAAGGAGAGCCGAGAGGGACTTGTGGGGGCCCACGTAGGCCCAACCATCTTTATTTTTTAGCTGACATGTGGGCCCACGTGGGCCCCATTATTCTTTTATTGATTTGTGTGTGAGACTGACATGCGGGTCCTACTAAGTTTATTATTTTTTCGATCAAATTGCCACGTATGCGCCACGTCAATGCCACATCAGATGAAGACCAAGTAAAATTTTCCACGTAGGCGCCACGTCAGCCAAAACCACCGTCAAAACCGTCGAGGGACCTCATCTGCACTGATTTTGATAGTTGAGGGACCCGTTGTATATAGTTTTCTGGATGAAGGGCGAAAATCAGATTCGTTGGCAAGTTAAGGGACCTCAGGTGAACTTATTCCAAACTGAATTAATGGGCTGTAAACTGGGTTGGATTAGTAGATCAATTGGGATGAGCTTGATGGGGAAAAGGTTCATTTAACATCCCTCAGCTATGGACCAAGTCTGATTTTGTCGCTCAACCACAACATCGGGTACAAAAAGCCTCTCTTATATTGTACACCCGGGTAGTATCGATGAGGGTTGTTTGATCCTATGCGGCATAGTGCCGCTGTTTTCATCCGACTTGACGTTTACGTGGTATTATAATCACAAATCACAGCCCAAATGTGACGATAATATTATCATGTTGCTAGAAATCCTTAATGCCTTGTCCTAATAAGCAAAAACAAAGATAAGTGTTCACATTTGTTTTGATGATGTAATAAATATCTCAGACTCTGCACCGTGAGATGCAAACATCCATAATAAAAGTGCTCACGCAAACTGAAAATAACCGTAACAAAGTAACACCATCATCTTCTCTTTGTTGGAAAATTAAGAAAATTTCTAGAGTTTAATTAGTGCAGAGTGCAGAAGGTAACTTCATAGCAGCAATGATTTGCATGCCAACTTGGATTGTTGAGAAAAAAAAGTTGACTGTTTATTTCACCCTATAGTTCGATAATTGTCACTGATTCAAAGTAAATATGTGTTCAGAACTTGATATTGCATCTAAAAGCACGTAAGCTAAAACCAAGCTTAATACTGCCTAGAATTTCAGGTGATTTGGTTTTGTAAATTCAGCAACCTGTTCTATCTGGTAATTCGGTGTTAGGGATCAATTTCAGAATCGATGATAAATTGAGGGACCTCAAGTTAACTTACTCTTGGGGAAGATAATCGTGGGAGGGCCCATCAACACATTCCGGCCCGTTAGGCCTGGCTTAATGGCTAGTGTTTGTACTCGTGTATCCAACTATTCCCCGTGCCGTCCGCCGGAGCGGAGCACTCGTTACCATCCCCCTCTCCGGCGGCCGTCTCCCCATCTCCGGGCCTCCGGCGGCGATCTTGCGGTGCTAGGTAATTCCTCCGGATCTTCCTCTTCTTCTTCGGATTCGCAAGGTCCAAGGGTTTCTCCGTCGTCCATCCAATCCAGGTGCGCGCTCGGGTTTCCGTGAACTCCTCGGATTGCTGTGCCTGCGTTGTCGGAGTCGGAGTCGGAGTCGGATTCGGAGATGGCGAGGAGGCCAGCCTAGCCTATATAGCATCCGACGATTTCGTGGTGCCCGCGTTGTGGTTTGAATCACTTCTGTGGAATGGGGAGAAGTGCTCCCCCTTCAGCTCCGGCTGCCGCGGCGGCGCCGGCGAGAGGCGGACGGAAGCGCAAGCGCCACCTGGTGACCACTTCTCCGGCGGCGCAGGTAGGCGGCTGGGCGTCTCTCCCCACCGACCTAACCCGCCTCGTCGCCGGCCGGGTGCTCGCCGGCGACGTGGTGGACTACATTGCATTCCGAGCCGTCTGCTCCGGCTGGCGCGCGTGCGCGCCCTCGCCGCGCGACCCCACCCTGCGGAAGCACCTGCTCCGCCCGCGCGCGTGGGTCGCGCTGTGCGACGGCGACGCCGCCCGCCCCGACGACGCCTGCGAGATCACCTTCTTCCACACCCGCACGGCCAGGAGCCTCCGTGTCCGCCTCCCGGAGCTCCGTTGCCACAGGATCGTGGGCTTCACCGACGGCCTCATCATCCTCCTCCACAAGCGCACCACCGCCGTCCGCGTGCTCAACCCCTTCACCGGCGTCGCCGTCGACCTCCCGCCCCTCGCCCCCGTGTTCCACCAGGTGGTCAAGAACCGCAACTCCCTGCTCTACATGCTGCACCAGCGCCACGTCTCCGATGACCCCCATTGCCGTCATCGTCTGGTTCCCTTACACGGCTGGAGTGCTCGGCTGTGAGGCTAGCCACCCAAGCTGGGAGGTCATCCACAAAGACATGGAGCTCTTGAACACATTGCCCTTCCAAGGTCGACTCTACGGCTTCCGGCGATTGACAAGGCAGATTGTGCAAGTCTACCCTCCAAACCCGCTTGGCCCCGTTGTTGCTCATGTCCCTGCCAAGTTCGGCGATCCAGACATCCAGTCTCCTGCTCCTACAACCTAGTCGACTCTTGTGGGCATATGCTCCTCGTTGTCCGCCATGGGAGTGCGACAAGGGAGGCCAAGGAGTCATGGCAACGTTGCGCATTCACAATCTTCGAGGTGGATGTCAGCAGCTGGGAACTGCTTCCAGTTAGGGCACCCACAATGGTTATCTATAGGCTCTCTACAAGAGATCCATGTCAGCATATTTTCCTACTTGGAATGTATTAAATGAAGAGAGAGAGCAAAGCTATCTACTAACTTAGAGATAGTCTATAGAGAAAAACGAGGCAATGCATGAGAGAGCTATAGATACCAATGTAGACATACTATTAAGGTGGTTTACTATTAATCGAGTCTATTGCTGAGATGTACATGTTTTATAGATAGCACCTTACTTTACCATTGCGGGTGCTCTTAGCAGCATTGGCAACCTCGTGCTGTTCCTTTGTAGGGATAGGTGCTTGTCAGTCTCAGCCAAACACCTCCCTTCAATCAGCAGAAATTCAGTTTACTACTATTACTATGTGCTGCTGCCAAATCCTGTCGTTTTACACTCTCCAAGCAACAAATCGTTCGAGCGACCAACAACATTGTGCCAAGTCCATGACACAACGAAGAGGATTCGCCCATCTGTGCGACCATTCACCCTTGCTGATCATCTTCTCACATATTGCAATCATCGTGAATGGTATGTTTCTCATATTCCTGTCGCTTCACTAGCACTGCATACACTGAATAAATAGCTCTGGTGATCTAATTATGTTCTCCATCTAACTGTAGGGCGAGAGGTCTCATGTTTCATGAGTACAACTGTATACTTGAGTGTTTCGATGATCTGCTGAAGAAAATAGAACACAGGATTCTGAACTGAGGATTCCACGCATCACAGGTGGAAGCTAAGGGAGAGGCTTGTTGTACTGAAGAAATTACTGCTCAACATTTCAGATGATGGTCACGGATCCACCAGCAACATGCGAAGAGTAGAGGTGCTTTGCAGGACCAGCAGTCCAACACCATGGCCTGGAGGGGCACATCAAACAAACCACAGGTTGCTCCTGTTCACCCAACATGTAGTCATCTTTAGTTTCTCAAAATTACTCAGTGAATAATGAAAGTGGAACTGTTTTAGTTTATTGTCCCTGATACTTCCAATTCATAATGGTGTAGTACTTTTTTCTTATCTTAGGAACTCAAGATTACTCCTACCATCCTACATGGCTGTACCTTGATGAAATTATCAAAGGAATCAGTGAACATCTTGCCTTGGCAAAGGTAGTCTCATTCTTGTCTGTATAGCTTCCACTACCTCCACTTGGTTGATGCCTTTTGCACATAGCTTGCTCTTTTAATGCAGTTTCATCTGCTATACCAAATCTGTGTTAATATACAATTGTATTGAAAGTTTTCATAAATGCATGTTACTTGTTAGGACCATTACTCCTTTCAAAAGGAAAAAAAGGATGTATATGACATTTCAATAACAGATAACAGAGTTGAACATTTACAATTCAATAAAACCATTTGGCCACCTTTTTTTGTGCGTATAGTTATGCATTTTTTGTAGAGTGGATGCACTCTCCAGGACAGTGTTCTTTATTCTTTTGTCTGAACTTGCGACAATTCCATTATTGTTATCCATGTATGATTTCTTAATATCCTTCACCCAATAGTATAGTCCTCATGCTATTTCTTTCCCTGATCTTCCAAACATGCAAGTACTTGCTTTCATCCTTAATATGTTACTCCCTTCGTCCCCTAATATAAGGGATTTTGACATTTTGCTTGCACTGTTTGACCATTCGTCTTATTAAAAAAAAATTAGAATTATTATTTATTTTATTTGTGACTTACTTTATTATCCAAAGTACTTTAAGCACAACTTTTCGTTTTTTATATTTGCAGATGAATTGTCAAACAATGCAAGTAAAATGTCAAAATCCCTTATTTTAGGGGAAGGATGGAGTAGCATGTTAGTAGTATGTTACACTCTCACTTGCAATCTGTTTTAGACAATATAAAACATTACGTAAAAAAAAACAATATAAAACATCAAGAATCACCAACTCTATATTCTCATGTGCTTTCTTTGATCGCTTGAAACCTATAGTAAACATAAAAACTGTAGGCCTCTCTTATTTTGTGTCACTGAGACGTGTCAGAGATGGTAAACACGACATTACGAATGATACTGTTTAGGTGTTCTGAAGGTCTCATTTCAGGTGTTTTTATAACTTACTGTCACTGGATTCATTTGAACCATATCTTCTCTGCAGGAAAACCGTGAAGAGCTACTTATTACGAAGATGAAGTTCCACTGTTTCACCTATTTCGACGTTTTCCTTTGGTTCGTGAAATTTGCTAATTTTCCCTGTAATTTGAACCAGCCTTGAGTTTTCATTCACGTCACTAATTTTACAGGCAAGTAGGCAACAGCTTAGATAGCCTTGAGTTTTCACTAATTTGTCATGTCTCAACAGGCAACAGCCTCCTTGGCCGCTTACCGTGCATCTGCTACTCAATTTTATCCAAAAGCGTGCCCTAGACTTGCTCCTTGATCTATATCTAGCTAGTTATGGCAATATATCAGAGGAATATATCCTATACACCAACTAACAAATATCATATTAAATTTTAGAAAAATTAGGCACATATTTCCAATAATATTACACCTACGTGTGAAATCTTGTTTTTAAATTCATTATATTTTAGCCTGAAAAAAGATAAAATTGTCAGATTTTCGTTTTTTATATAGCTAAAATATAATGAATTTAAATATAAGACTTTGGAGTAATTCTATTAGGTGTAAATGTATAATTTTTTATAGAATTTTTTGTGACATTTGCTAGTTGGTGTACATGGAAAGGTTGTGTGATTGGATGTATTCCCTATGAGAGCCTCATTTTTGTTACATCGCCGAGTTTACGGGACAAATGGGCTGCCTACCGCGCTGTTCAATTTAGGGCCCGTTTAGTTCCCAAAATTTTTTTTTCAAAAACATCACATCGAATCTTTGGACACATGCATGAAGCATTAAATATAGATAAAAAGAAAAACTAATTACACAGTTATGGGGGAAATCGTGAGACGAATCTTTTAAGTCTAATTAGTCCGTGATTAGCCATAAGTGCTACAGTAACCCACATGTGCTAATACCGGCTTAATTAGTCTCAAAAAATTCGTCTCGCGGTTTCCAGGTGAGTTCTGAAATTAGTTTTTTCATTCGTGTCCGAAAACCCCTTCTGACATCCGGTCAAACGTTCGATGTGACACCAAAAATTTCCTTTTCCCCAACTAAACACACCCTCAAGTACTCCATGAAACTACTACGGTTTATGCAGACGAATACTCTCCGCTCTACGGTCTCCAGAAACTACTCCCTCCGTCAAAAAAAAAAAAAAGACAAACTCACTCCCTCCGTCCAAAAAAAAAAGACAAACTCTGCTTTCCATGCCCAACGACCGTCCGTCTTATTTGAAAAAATTATGAAAAAAATTAAAAAGACAAGTCACGCATAAAATATTAATCATGTTTTATCATCTAACAACAATGAAAATACGAATTATAAAAAAAATTATATAAGACGGACGGTCAAAATTGCACACGAAAACTCAGAGTTTGTCTTTTTTTTAGACGGAGGGAGTAGTGTAGTGTATGTACGACGGAGTACGGAGGTGGCTCAGTCGCAGTACTAGCAGTGTGCCTGTGTCCGGCTCAAAGCCGACCGTGTCAGGGAAGTACTCCCTCAGAAAAAAAATGGGTTATCCATAAATATTAATCATGTTTTATCATCTAACAACGATAAAAATACTAATTATAAAAAAAATTATATAAAACAAACAATAAAATGTTGGACACGAAAATCTAAGTTTTGTTTTTTTTTTTCGACAGATAGAGTAGGCAGCAGCGGCATCGGCGGCCGGTCCGCCACGGCCACGAAGCCCACGATGCCGCATTGGTTTTGAACGAACACGTACAGCGGCAGCTTCACTGTGCTAGAGGTGCGCACAGACGCGGCAAGTGCAGTTCGCAACGGCTCGATCGATCGCCGTGGCGTGGTGCTACACTGCTACCGTGCCGTGACGGGTGGAGCGAATCGCCAATTCGCCATGGTGGAAGCGACACGGAGTTGCCAACGGGGGAGGCTAATGGGCGATCGTTCCCAGGGCGATCGTGCAGCGATCGGTTTGCCTCTCCTCCTGTTCTCCCCCTTCCTCCTCCCCTTCTTCTCTTTCTACTACAGTACACCACACAATTTTTTAAAAAAAACAAAATTTAGAAAAATTTATGTATAGAAATACTATATATAAAAAATTTGAATTCAAATTCAAATTTGAATCGGGTATGTAAACTTTTGACTTATAAACTTTGGGTCTATAAATTTTAGGTGTATAAACTTTAGATGTATAGAAATATTATATATAGAAAATATTTGAATTCAAATTCAAATTTGAATTAGATATAATTCAAATTCAAATTTAAATCGGGTATATAAACTTTTGACTTATAAACTTTGGATCTATAAACTTTAGGTGTATAAACTTTAGATGTATAGAAATACTATATATAGAAAATATTTGAATTTAAATTCAAATTTGAATCAGATATAATTCAAATTCAAATTTGAAACAGGTATATAAACTTTTGACTTATAAACTTTAGGTCCATAAACTTTAGGTGTATAAACTTTAGATGTATAGAAATACCATATATAAAAAAATATTTTAATTCAAATTCAAATTTGAATCGGATATATAAACTTTTGACTTATAAACTTTTGGTCTCTAAACTATAGAAGTGTAAACTTGAGGTGTATAAACTTTAGGTGTATAAATTTACGAAAATAGAAAAGTAATGCGGTGCCAGAAAAGGAAACCGGTGGAGGGGTGGAGTGAGGGAGGGGGGAGAGGATCGATCGCTGCCCCCATCCCGGGGCAATCGATCGCCAAACAGCATTCTCGGTTGCAAACGGGGTGCGGCTCGAGTGAGACGGCCCACGGTTTACCTGAATTAATGGGCCTTTTTTACATTGGGCTGGATAAGTAGAACGAATTGGGACGAGCGCTGATGATGCATTGATGCATGTGCAGGAAAATATCAACATTCGTAGAGCCTGTTCATATTGTAGCCAAAATAAATCTTATCAAGTTTTGGTAATACTAAAATTTTGACAAGATGGATCGAACTCTATTTCCGCCTCTTTGTAGCCAAAATTTTATGGAGGGAGAGAGGGTGATGAGGAAGGAAAAAAATGATAGGCTGGCTAACAAGTAGATCCATCGGTAGGTTAGGGGCATGTACGTAACTTTTTTTTTTATGTTATAAGGTCTAAACCATAAAATTTTTAGCTTATTTGTTAATAAAAAGGTGAGAAGGGCTACCATGCAGGAAATAAAGGGCTGAAATAAAAAGAAGTAATAGTTGTAACTAGTGTCCTTATAGCAATCTTGTCATAGCGCAACCTGTTGTGGCACAACTATGAGTATCATGTACTATAATAGCATTACAAATCACTATCTCATATTAGAGTTTATATACCTTTATCCTTTAGTAAGCTTGGAGCGAAGGGCAAAAGGCTAATTCCTTTCGAAGGAACTGTAAAGGAAAAGCATAAGAAGAGGAATGTGTTTTAAACTACCATTCGTTTCATAGGAATGCACCATAGGAAAACTATAGGAAAGTTTTCCATTCCTCTACTTTTGAAGGAAAAACATAGGAAAAAATATCTACTCCAACCTAATGTTTGCATTTCTTTGGTTGGCTTGCTCAACAACATAGGAAAACTTCATGTGTTTTTCAATCCATAGGTTTGCCATTGTATTCCTCTAGTATTCCTATGTTTTAAAAATCCTATGAACCGAATGAGCCCTAAGCAATGCCAAAAGTATACATATCTTATGCGGTACTGCAATTTGTAGTAGCAGTGACTGACAGATGAGTAAACTGTACACAATTACGATCAATGCCTAAGCACATGAATATATAATGGAAATGCAATTAGTAAAGAGTTACGAGTACTCACTAGTCACTGCACCAAAGACCAAACTGTCACCCTCGTACTGTACTACAGTTTATAGCTCTGAGCTGGGTTTCTGTTGCACAATCGGTTGACAACATGTCATGTCCTGCATGATAGGGAAAAAAAAAATCGCCCCTGCAATATCCGTGGCATACAACCACCGCATGCCCTGTGATATCCACACAGAAGAGGGGAAAAAACGATTGCAAGGTAAAAAAAAAGCAGTATTAGCCAACCTACTCACCCTGTAAGAGCAAGTATAATAGTAGACTATAAGCCGGCTAAATGTTAAGATGAAGGAGAGAAGAGAAGAGAGGAGAGAGAAGAAGCAGTTTGTAAACTTACAGTCGGCTTAAACACAAGAATCAAGAAACTCTGTGAGAGAGATAAGTGGGTCCTATATTAATTGTAAAGACTAACCTATTATATGGATAGGCCGAGAGAAAACTACAAATAACCTTATAGCTAACCGGTCGGTTGTATTATTAGTCTGGCTCTGAGTGCCTGAGAAAGTGTTTGGGAAACATAGACTTATTCCAAGTCCCTGTCACATCGAATGTTTGGACACTAATTTAGAGTATTAAACATACAGTAATTACAAAACCCATTCTATAACCTTAGACTAATTCGCGAGACGAATCTTTTAAGTCTAATTACGCCATGATTTAACAATGTGATGCTACAGTAAACTTTTCATAATTATGAATTAATTAGGCTTAAAAAATTCGTCTCGCAGATGATTAGCTCTTATTTATGAAATTAGTTTTTTTATTAGTCTATATTTAATACTCCAAATTAGCGTCAAACATTCGACGTGACATGGACTAAAAAAAAGTTAGCTCCATGTAAACACCCCTTGATGCACGTCGCCTCCGCCTCTATCTACCACAGTACGGCCTGATGCACTAGCACTAGCAGGCAGCGATTACTGCCATCGCCTCCCGTGATCGGCGGGGCTCCGATCTGATGCCCCCCCGCTCACGTGCCCCCGCCCCCCGCCCGCCGCTCCCGCCGACCCCGACTCGGTCAAGCCGCGCCCGCCCGCAGCGAGCAGCGCGCCGCACGGCCCAACCCAACCCAACGGCTGCTCGTCCCCTCGCGCGAGCCGCGCGCGTCACGTGTCCGCGCGCCCGTTGCAATGCGGCACCAGCAGCGAGCGGTCGCGCGTTTCTGCCCTTCTGCCCGTTGGTTGCCGCGCGCCGCTGCACGGGACGGGTTCCCGGCGTTCCCGCCACACTCGCACGCATCGCGCCCGGTAGCCACACACACTACTCCTACTACTCCTCCATGATTCGGCGGCACGGTGCTGGGACCAGCGGAAAGCGATAGTTGCACGTTGGAGCAGGCGTGAGGCGGGGCCCGGGACCTTCCTTCCCTCACCGGGTGGCTCCGTTTCCGCTGGGGCAAGGCTGGCTGGCTGAGTGGCCATCAGCCACACTGTTTACAACACGGGGAAAAGCAACCTTCATTATCACGAACATTACATGATTGCCCGGTGTCATTATGAGTTGAGTGAGATACCAAAGATGCTGATGGAAAATCATGGCCCATGGAACCGATAGAATAACGCATTACATTATGGAACTGAGAAGGAATACAGAGCACCTATAGGATGTGGGTTGAGTACGGCATCGGGTCAGGTAGAGCGGTTACAAGCACTGAAGACAGTGGAGAAGCTTTTTGACAGCGTTCTCTCCGCCTCCAAAGCGTGCTAGTCTCGATAAAGCTAGTACTAGCACACAATTGGGGCTTAAACCAACGAGGTTTACAAACTGATTTTGAAACTTCGTGTTTTACCTACTACCTCTCGCCTTGGCGACTTGGCGGCATATGCATGTACCTATTTGGAGCCCGAAATCACGCAGTCCGGCAATCAATCAACCATGGGAATTCCAACGAGGCAAAAATCAACAACTGACGCTACAAAACCCCACATGTTTCCCCCCACACATCAAATGATCAAATCCTGGTCGAAAACGTGCTGTGTTCTCTACGGATCATCCTCGTCCCATGAACCTGACCAAAAATTCAGACCCAAACATCTACAGTAACATGAAGCAAGTGAACATGCTTTGATTATTATTTTGTCAAAAGTACCCGTATTTTGATTTATTTTTCTCTCTTTCCGACATACCACCTCGCCGCTTTCCCTTTCTCCCCTGCGCTCTCACGTCAAACGGTTTCCTCCCCCTCTCATCTCCTCTTTATCTTTTGTTCTTTTGTGCGGCTGCTTTTCCATTTCCGCCCACATCGCCTTCTACCTCTCGCACTCCGCTAGCTAAGCTCGCTTGCTTCCACTCCAGCTAGCCAGCGAGCGAGCGAGCGAGCTCACCTTCTACTCCACTCCTCGCGCCGTACTCTCCATGCCCTCGTCTTGAAGCAAGGTCGGCAGTGGCAGTCTTTGTCCGGGGAGGCGGAAGCTTTCTTGGGTTTTTCTTTGAGGCGGCTGCATTGTTTGTGATTCTTGGGCGATGGAGAAGGAGAGGAAGCAGGGGTTCTTCGCGGCGCTGAAGGAGGAGGTGGTGCGCGGGCTGTCGCCGGCGAGGTCGCGGGGGAAGTCGCCGGCGAGGAGCGCGTCGCCGGGGAGGATGCTGATCCCGCGCCGCCGCAAGGAGAAGCAGCAGCAGCCGCCGCCGGAGAAGCTGCTGCAGCAGTACTTCGCGGAGCCGCTCATCTCGCGGTCGGGGAGCCTGCGGCCCGGAGGGGAGGCCCTCGCGCCCCTCATTGAGGGGCCCGACCCGGAGCGCCTCGCCGCCGGGGGGGACTTCGCCGGCGGGGAGGAGTCGGCGCGGCGGGAGGGGTTCGGCCGATGGGTCCGCGGCCAGCTGGCGCGCACGCCGTCCGTGGCGTCGTCCGCCGCCGCCGCCGCCGCCGCCAGTCCCGGGGGTTCGGGCGACTCGTTCCGCCGCTCCGACCTCCGCCTCCTCCTCGGCGTCATGGGCGCGCCGCTGGCCCCCATCCCTTCGAAGCTAGCAGATCCCCTGCCTCTCCTCTCCATCAAGGGGACCCCCATTGTACGGCGCAGTTCTTGCTTCACCTGCTTGTTTGTTTGCTTCGCTTCTAGGTAGGAGATCGATGTGGTTCATTCATGGCTGTGAAAAATGCAGGAGTCGTCGTCGGCGCAGTACATCCTGCAGCAGTACATGGCGGCGTCGGGCGGCTACCGGCTGCTGCAGTCGGTGCGGAACGCGTACGCCATGGGCAAGGTGCGGATGGTGGCGTCCGAGTTCGAGACCGCGACGCGCGTCGTCAAGAACCGCGGGCCCAGCGGCCGCGGCGCCGCCTCCGTCGAGCAGGGGGGCTTCGTCCTCTGGCAGATGGCGCCCGACATGTGGTACGTCGAGCTCGCCGTCGGCGGCAGCAAGGTGCACGCGGGATCCAACGGCCGCCTCGTCTGGCGCCACACGCCGTGGCTCGGCGCCCACGCCGCCAAGGGCCCCGTGCGCCCGCTCCGCCGCGTCCTCCAGGTCCGGACACCTCACCGCCGCTAGATCTGGCCTAGCCGACCCACCCATCTCAATCACCCTCACCGGCGTGTTCTCGCCATTGCTTGCGACGATGCAGGGGCTCGATCCGCTGACGACGGCGGGGCTGTTCGCGGAGGCGCGGTGCGTCGGCGAGAAGAAGGTGAACGGCGAGGACTGCTTCATCCTCAAGCTGTCGGCCGACCCGCAGACGCTGAAGCAGCGGAGCGAGGGGCCGGCGGAGATCATCCGGCACGTCCTGTTCGGCTACTTCAGCCAGCGCACCGGCCTGATCGTGCACATCGAGGACTCCCACCTCACCCGCATCCAGCCGCACTCCGGCGGCGACGCCGTCTACTGGGAGACCACCATCAGCTCCGCGCTGGAGGACTACCGCCCCGTCGAGGGCATCATGATCGCGCACGCGGGGCGCTCCGCCGTCACGCTGTTCCGCTTCGGCGAGGCCGCCATGAGCCACACCAAGACGCGGATGGAGGAGGCCTGGAGCATCGAGGAGGTGGCGTTCAACGTCCCCGGCCTGTCCGTCGACTGCTTCATCCCGCCCGCCGACATCCGCTCCGGCCCCGTCGGCGAGTCCTGCGAGCTGCCGCCGCCGGCCGCGGCGCCGCACGGCGAGCGCGCCAGGCACCCGGCGCGCGTCGCCGCCGTGGACCGCGCGCCTCCCCACCACAATGCCGGCGGCGCCAACGTCGGCCGCCGCGGCGACAAGATCATGTGGAGAGTGGAAGTGTGACGGCGAGGCTGTTAGTGTTGTTGTTTACTATAGCTAGTAGCTGCATTTCTTGGAGTGAAATTAAACCAAAGCCCAAAAAATTGTTCATACCAGTAGAGTTTAATCCTCCTCATTTCCAAATGAGCAAGTATATTCAGCAAATATTAGCTACTCCTAGCTGCCTCTACTTCAATTTTCCACCGTGAAATCTGTAAATAGGAGCATAAATGTTCTTCACTCTCATCAGGCCACTCGTGTTTCCTCACTTTTATGGCCTCTGAGATGGATCTTTTATCCTCTGAATGCAGAAGTTTTTAGTGTAACCTTTTTTACTGAACCCCTACTACTCCTCTTGTAGGCCTTCAGAAAAATCAGAGCTGTACTAATTTGAGATCACCTGACCTTTCATGTTACTGCAAATTTTCTTGGTTGTGGTGGCACTTGAAAGATGATGCCTGATTCCTAGTACTGCATGCTGCTACTACCACTAATGCTGATGTGTGTTTTGCTGCTTGCTTAGCTGAAAACTCCACTGTTTTTCTTGTCTTCATGCTGAATCCTTCCCAGATCTAGCATGCGTGTTTAGCTCAAGTCACCGTCCACGAGCTGCTCTATTAGTGTAGGAGTACATGTTAATGCTGGTCTCGCTTGCAAGTTAACCAAGTTGTATCTTGGCAGCCACTGCTCGCTGTACTTCTGCAGTGCACCTAGCATCGGATGCTTCCGGATCAGTGGCGCATCGCCACCATTCACCAGCAGGCAGGCAGGCAGCCCGGTCACCTGATGACTGTGTACTACTCCTACTACTACGTACTGCCTCCATTTCAGTTGATCCATCGATCAAGGGCCCTCATGCGTTGACTGGTCAACAGAGAGCCGGTAGGGCCCACTTTCAGGTCAAGGTGGTAGCTGGTGTCATCTACTCTGTGACGTGTAGGGCTCCCATTGTTCTTTTTTCACCTTTGTTGACCGAGGGAGACGACCATGGTGAAGTAGTGGTAAGGCTTTGTTTCGCCACCCAGGGTGAAAACGGTCGGAATCGGTAGCATCTCTTTAGAAATGATGATCGATCGGTCGGTAATTAATCATATTTATTATTTAAACTAGTTTGTATTGACATTAATACGATGAAAAAAATTACGAAAAGATAAATTTTAAAAATAACAAAAATGGTACGTACGGTCGGAAACAGTACCCCTTATACAAAAACGGTGCTCGGTCGATCGGGAATTTCCGTGACCGTTTTCACCCGGCCTCTGCAGCAGCTTGCCGATGGTTGATGCAGGAAAATGAAAAGGGTTTTACGCGCATCATTGCATCTGCATCTCACTGGGATACCTTATTTGGAGGGTCTTTTGCGGATTTAGTTTCCCTGGAAATCTCCCGACTCCTTTAAACGACTCAAATTCTCATCCAAGTTTTGAAAATTAAACTAGAAGATAAAAGTTGGGAAACCTAACTAGTCTAAATTTTCATCAGCCGCTTAGCTCGTGGAACAATATGTATGAGCTTTGTGTGAGTGACGGTGAAAAATGAAGGTGCAAAGGGGAGAAGGAGCTGGGAATGATGCTACAGAAAGTCAGCTATACGGGAGCTGGTTTGAGCAAGCACATTATTGTGGCCTCGGTAGAAGAGCACGCTGCCCTGTTGGTGACTGGTATGATGATGCTGCCTTGTCTCGCCAACTTTTGCCCGGATCGGTGAATTTCTCGCAAATTTGCTGCTCCCTTTTGGCTTGCCAGGGTCACATAGGAGTCACGTAGACAATGAGTGTAATCTGAGGGTATGATTAGAATTTAGAAAGCTAGAAAACTCAGGGCCTGAATTTTGAGGAAAACTTAAAGAAAATTAACCAATCCAATTTCTTGTAAAATTCCTTGGGTTCCTTTTTAAGTTCGATGTCCATTTTCCCGTCTTCAAATCGCGGTATCCTAGGGAAAAAAAATTCCATATGATGCTCATTTTGATGTGGTGGACAATTTGAGGGTATTGGAATTTCTTAGAATTTCATGCTTGCAATAACATTTTTGTACATGAGATATCCTCGTGGCATCAAATCTACTTGACATTTTTTTTATAAAGGAAATTATATAGTCCCCTGTCCTAAAATATCCGAGGGTTTCTTTTTGAGATTATGAAGATATATGTAAAAACACAATATTGTCCCTCGTTAATTGTCATAGACTCCTAGTCAGGCGCGGGGCTAGGCTTAGGATAGCTAGGGCTTGAGATCTAGGCTTAGCTCCTTAATCCCCATTTAAATTCTATAGAAGCACCATATAAATTCTGAAATATGTTGAGACTTTATTAGCTCAGTCTTGGCATATAAGTTTTTTTGCCTCCACCTCTGCTCCTAGTTAATTGGTGGAAGGGGTTGTGAAGGTAAGGAGTAATTTAGATATTTTATCACCACAAATGCTCTTGGTACTTAGAAGTAAATGTATTTTGAAACAAAATTTATTATATTTGGAGACGAATAAAGGAACAACTCTTGAAAATTGTTACATACAATTTTCTCCTGTAGAAAACCAAAGGATTATCAATCTGGAAACATACCGAATGCATTTAGGCACCTCATTAGTCACTCCCACATTTCAGCAGTACTTTCTGAATTATAGTTTCCTTTTGAAGTATTTTATGAATATAATCTTTCGAGAGATAGTGACATAACACACAAACTAAAGAGCAAACTGTTTCCCTTATTTTTCTCGACAGCTGGTCCAAAAAAGATGCTCTTGACAACTTTGCACCATTCGAGGTCGACGATGGGCGACAGCTGACGGGAGCAGCACATGAGAATTGTTGTATTGGCTGATTTAGTACTTATACGTGTAATTCAGCATTTTTTTCAATATGCGAAGTCAAAAAATATATATACTTGCTTTAAGCTTCTAGATTGGTTATAAATGACCACACATGCTGCGATGAAGCAATGTGTATGTCATGATCAAGTAGAAACCTGAGTGAAACTTCTTAAGCTGACTTTGTTAATGTGGAAGTGAGGTTTATTATTTACAAAGGCAAGTTGTTGCCATTGATTTATGGGGGTAGATTTATGGACTACCTATACTTGTTTTATACACTCATGCCTATTGTTTAACACCTTGGGCTGAAAATTTAAAAACAAAAACACTAGAATAGTGATAGGAGCAACATTTGGTGTAGCATTCCTAGCTTGGAATCATTGTAGTCTCCAATTCCAGTGCAAATATAGCTCAAACTTTTGTCTCTTGTATTCAATTCCAGCCTCCTTTCAACTCTCCCTCGTGTGTTGATTCCAATCAATGGTGCCTACTAGTGCAGAGACGAGAGAGATACCGTGGAGAAAGATGAACACACAGCATGGCACTCTGCTAGTATTATTGCCATCCAACGCATGCTAATCCTGTTTAATGCAATCATTCGGTCGTGTTGCATTGCACATATGCACCTTCTAAGTTTATGATTAGCAATTCAGGTTATCATCTGCAAACCATATCCCCCTATGGCCCTATCTGCAGGTGCATTTTTTTTAGTATTATATTACTACTACCAAAGCTTTGTGTAGTGTTCATCGACCAGATATTCGGCACCCTCTGCAAAATGCTGTTGGAGCATAGCTGCAGGATTTTGCAGGATGAGATTGGCATTTCTGCGATGCTGCTTGTGGCATCACCAATTTACCAGGTGTCTCCTATACTCTGATTCGTGATGCATGGGTTGCGTAGATATCCATCAGCGTCAGGGGAACCCCACATAATCTTGCCAAGGAGCAATGTCACAAAATTTGCATGTGAAAACAAATTTCGCAGCAATTTGCTTCACTCGGACCGATGCACTGTGATGTGCGGAATCTAAATGTTTTTGTGTCAGCTTTCCATGGGCCACAAAGGCGCTAAGGACCAAATGATTTGGCCCTACTTCTTCTGGCCATATTAGCTGTTCCTTTGTTTCTGCAGCTACTGGCTAGTTTTATTTTAACCGGTTATGTAGGAGTAGATCTTATGCTGCTCATGTTGCATATTGTTTTCTACTGTAATTTTCTTTGTTACCTTACCTAGCCAAGTGGATTCATTGTTTGAAGTTTGCAGAACTAATACATAGATCTCCCGTGCTGTATTATCTTAATAATCACAGCCAAATGACATGCAATGCTGCATCTCCGGCTTTATAGTCTTGTAGTAGATCAGTAGTAGGAGTAGACCTGAACTCTGAAAACGTTGCTTCAGAAGTTGGACAATGTCTGTTCTGTTGGAAGCAAGCGATCTTTGGAACATAAAAAGCAGCGGAAGCTTCACTTGATCTGATATAAGCCAATCATCTTTTGTGTTCTTTTCGGTTGTTACACCTTTGTTTTGATTAGACCAAAGCCGGATTTCAGGACGGGCACATCTTGATCTAAAGCTGCTTTAGTATATAAGTCCCACAAGTCTAGTGCTCGGCATTAGCCTTTCTTACAAAGCTTCTCCAAGTACGATCAATGCCTTCTAATCAAACAAGGGTAATAATGCTAATATCTGAAGACGTTCTGTTCAAATATGCTGCACTTTTTTTTGAAAGAAACGGTGCACCAGTTGTTTCTGATGAAACTTCAAATCTGTCAGCTTTGATGGAAACAAGCTCATAGAATAACCCACGGAACATTTTTCGGCATAGCTAGACTGCGTACAAAGACTGAAGATGCACTGCATATGCTTCAGTTTTGGGAAACTGCACTGAACTTTAGCGTGTCTTGTGAACTTGTCATTCTAGCAACTGCAACTGTGTACATGCATGAGAGGAGTGTCTGTTAAATTTGCCGTTCCATCAACATGGTTTTTACCCTTTATTCCTCTGAGCAGTAAAGTTTAGTTTGACCTTGCCACTATTTCACTTCCAAAGCAGTCTTTTGACGAAAATGTCACATGCTACTGCACTTGTGATTGGCAGCCTCTGGTGGTTTGGCACTTTGGTTGGATCAAGAATGTGCTAATTCTGCTCGTTTCTTTTGATCACCATACTTGTCAACTCCTGACGAGCTGCTTAGCTGCAATTCGAGCAAATTTCAGAATCTTAAACGAACTCGAACCAAAACACAAACACCAAAAAAAGCTCTGATTCTTTTATTCTTCAGAAAAGGAGTAACTGTTTTGTCAAAGGAAAATGCGCCCGTTGCAAACAAACCCAAAGCTGACTGCTAATATCTCGGGCCAGCCCACTTCACGATTATCTGTCCTGAAAAGTTTCGGCCCAGTCACCTATAGCCGCCTATAAGCCCACTAGTCCCTGCAACGTCTAACATATCTCCCTTCTCCGCTAATCAAAATCAAACCCATCCAACGTGCTGTAAAACGTTAGTAGTAAAACGATTTTGCTATATATTTATTAAAAATCTGTTAAATGTAAATACAATATAATTGTGTAGTATAATTATATGTAACTATAATGCTCATAATTTTTATATATGTAACTTTCATATAATTTTAAACGGTAAGATTTATTTCAAGATTTGTGTAAGTTGGGATGAAAAAAATAATAGTGTGCGCATGGGTGAGAAGATTCGGTCTTACGACTTCCGGGGCGCAAAAATAACATTTTACCGTGGGATTTTTGAAAGGTAGATACAAATTGTATTTTAGTTACACTATAAACTATGATTATCCTTGTACTAGTATTTATGTATGTGCATAATAAATGTATAGCTAGTTCCGTAGTAAAAGAAAAAACAACATCTCTCCTTCAGGCGTCCCCACCACCCCAACGGCCTTCCGCGCAGAGGCCAACGGGCCAAACCCCTCTTGTGGGCCGTCTTGTACTGGCCCACTACGCAGACAGCGCCGTACCGTACCGTACAAGCTTCTCGCCGCGCGCGCGGTGCGGCCCAGCGAGCCACGTGAACGAACGCGTTAAGTTCATCTAAGGTCCCTTAATTTGTCGACGAATCCGATTTTCGTCCTTCAACCAAAAAAACCAGTTACAACTGGTCCCTCAACTGTCAAAACCAGTGCAGATGAGGTCCCTCAGCGGTTTGGATGGTGGTTTTGGCTGATGTGGCATTGACATGGCACTTACGTGGCAATGTGAGCTGGAAAAATAATAAATCTCGTGGGACCCACATATCAGTTTCACCCAAAAATTAATTTTAAAAAGGTGGGGCCCACGTGGCCCCCACCTGTCATTCTCAGCCTCCTCTTCTTCCTCATCTCCCCATCTCCCTCTCTCTTCAACTCTCTTCCCTCTCCTTTCTCGCGACGCGCGCGACGGCGGAGGCTCGGCTCTGGCGGCTGTGGACGGAAGAGGTAGGGGCGGCGGGAGGTGGACCTAGCTGTGGCGACCGGCGGAGAGGAACTGGGCATCGGCAGCGGAAGCGGAGTCTCGAAGGCTGGCCCCCAGGCGATGCGGAGTCGACAGCGGGAGCTGCGGGAAGACGGCAGCCGTTGTGGCCGCCCGCGCATGGAGGAGAGGTGGGAGCCAGAGAGCGCGAGCTCCTCCTCTTCCGCGACGCCATCGGCCTCAATGCTCGATCTCACCCTCCTCGCGGCGTTAGAGCTCCGTCTAATATTCTTGTCGAGATCCGGCCAGAGTAGCACCAAGCCCACGAGGCCAAGCTGGCCATCGTACCGCCACAGCTCGATGAGACGATGGTGCTCCTCGATTGGTGAGCTCGAGCCGGCGGCCAGATGCAGAGTGGAAGAGGACACAGAGCACGTGCTACGACAAGTCCGCCCGGCGGCCGGCCGTGTTCGGTGTTCTGTGTTCATGTGCGCTCCTCCATGGGGGAAGCCGCCCCGGTGTGGCGTGCGACCGCGGGGAAGAAACGGGCTTTCAATTTTTTGCAGCGGCTGCATTTTTCGCTTGATTTCGTGCTAAAATTTTCTGCTGAGGTACTGGCGTACTGCTCTGGCGACATGTACCAGAGCGTGCCGACTAGCGGCGTCTGTGGCGGCGGTGCCGCGGCCGACTTGCTGAGGCCCAAGTCGCAGATCCTGACGCAGCCATCAACGGCGCCGACGAGGACGTTGCCCGGCTTGATGTCGCCGTGGATGACCCCCTGGCCCCCGCGCGTGCAGTTGCTTCACGCCGGCGAGCAGCTGCTTCACGCCGACATAGTCCATGACGAGGTAGAGCTTGCTGGTCTCCGGGTGGCAAGTCATCTCACGATGGCGGGGTTCCCGGCGCAAGCCACGAGCATCGCGGCCTCCCACACCTCCTCTCCGGCCCCCTCGCCGGCCGGCGCCTTTTTCCTTCTCCGTGCGCGCTCGCCGGCTGGCGAGGAAGGATGGCCGGGAGGGAGAGAGAAGAAGGCGCCGTGGATGGAAAGGATGTGTATTTTTACTTTTGTCCGACTGACTTGTGGGCCCCATGTTTTTGTTTTTATTTTTAAGTTTTATATTTTGCTTCTAGTGCCACATCATCGCCACGTAAGACAATGACCAACTCAAACTGGCCACGTCGGCGCCACATCAGCCAAAACCACCATCGAAACCGCTGAGGGACCTATTTACACCGGTTTTGATAGTTGAGGGTATCTGGTTTTCTGATCGAAGGACGAAAATCGAATTCGTCGAAAAGTTAAGGTACCTCAAGTCTTATTCCTATTCCGTTCCCTTCTACCAACCGGCCCGCCACGCCACCCACCCACCCACGCTGCCTGGCCCACTGCCAGTTGTGCCGCTTCGGCCCTTCTCCTCTCCTTCTCCCCCCCCACGCTTCTCCCGCTATTTATCATCCCCCTCTCCGCCCCCCGCTTCCTCCCCACCACCACCACCACCACCACCGTCGCCGCACCGAGCCGAGCAAACCACCACCGCCGCAATGGCGCGCGCAGCCGCACTCTGCCTCGCGCTGCTCTGCCTCGTCGCGGCGTCCGCGTCCGCGCAGAAGGCGACCCCCACCCCCGCCGCGGCGCCGGCCACCACGCCACCGGCCTCCTCCAAGAAGACGCCCGCGCCCGCCGCGGCGCCCACCACCACCACCCCGCCCGCCGCCTCCACCCCGCCCGCCGCGGCGCCGACCACCCCCGCCACCCCGGCCCCCGCCGAGGCGCCCACCACCCCGGCTCCGACCAAAGCGCCACCCACCAAGTCCACCAAGGCACCCGCCCCGGCGCCCAAGGCGGCCAAGGCCACCCCGCCGCCGGCCTCGTCTCCCCCGGTCGAGGCTCCCGTCGCGTCGCCTCCTTCCCCCGCCGCCGAGGCGCCCGCCACCATCCCCACCAAGCCCGACGCACCCGCGCCGGCGCCGGCCAAGAAGAAGAAGCCCTCCCCGCCATCCAAGAAGAAGAAGAAGAGCTCCAAGGCCCCCGCCCCGGCCCCCGTCGCCGTCGCCGAGTCCCCCAAGCACTCCAAGAAGGCTAAGGCCCCCGCCGCCTCGTCCACGGCCGACGCCCCCGGCCCCGCCGGCGACGGTGTCGCCGCCGACTCCACGGTACATTTCACACCTCAATGCATTTGCCCCTCTACTGCTATTGTAACAGAGCTTAACCAACTAAGTTACTCCAAGAAATTACTTTTTACCACTTCACGTAGTGACCTAGAGTAATTAGGGGCTACAGTCCAGGTTAATTACCAAGTGGCGTGTTAATTAAGCATGTTACAGTTTTGTACTAAACTAATCTAGCATAAAAGTTGTGCAAATTGTCACCTAACCTGTGTGAAATAGGAGTGGCCTAGTAGTAGTAGATCCAATTACCCGACATGTCGACCAGGCATGCATGTGCGTCTCCTGCCGTTACACGGACAACGGACAAAAACAGTAGTTAATGCCTCATTTGAAAAGTCCATATCAGTCCCTGGCAACCACTAGTAATTAGCTGGCACATATCATTACCATTTCATCAAGTAGCGATTATTATAACATTCCATTCTTTTTAAGTCTCTGTTACCGTACTATCTAGCGAATTAACAATCATCCATAATTGCTAGTAGATCCATGTGCTCCAGCACTATATACTAGTACAGGCTACAAATACACAGCTCATGTGACCTATACAGACTCACTGTTGCAGTAGTAGTAGTACTACCAGTACAGTATTTAGTGCGGCAATTTTTCTTTTTTATTACTCCTCCATTGATATAGCACTGCACAGTGACTGACTTGTCAATGCCTTGGCTGTCGTGAACTGCACAGGGAGCCGCAGGGAGGACCAGCGTGCAGGCGATCGCGTCGGCGTGCGCCGTGGCGCTCGGCCTCGTCGCCCTCCTCGCCTAAGCAAAACGGCGTCGTGCAACGACGTGAGCAACGACGACGACGCAGATGGCAGCGGCCGGTGCGCCCCACCACATTTTGCGCTGTATTTTGCTCGTCGATTCTTTTACGGGACGGGAGGGAGGAGGAGGAGGGACCTTAGCTTTGGCTTTGGCTTTACCACTCTCCCAACCACATTTGATGATTGAGCGATCGCCATGCCTCGGATTCTTTTGTTTCTTTCTTCTTCTTCTTCTTCTCTCTGCTACGCCCACGATATGACTCTGCTAGCTGCTGCCTGCCCGCCCTTGTACTGTACCACTGAGATCATCTACTTTTAATTTATTTTATGTTGCTGTCATCATCATCATTGATTCATTGTATTATTCCATCTTTGCCCGGATCATAGATCTGTCATCTTTTTTCTCATCCATGCTGGTGCTGTCTGGCTATACTTTTTCTCTGTGATGGCTGTTGAGAGCGTGGGCTGGTCTGTGTTGTGTTTTGTTGTGTTGTGTTGTCCCCATTTTGTCTGCATGCAGGCCTGCCCGATCTGTGATGTGTTCAGCAGCCGTTGCGCTGCTTATCTGGACTGTTCCTGCTCAGTGACAGCGTTGTCTCACCGGTTGAAAACTCGGACGTTAGAAAGCTAAGCTTGGCTATTTACTTTCCTGGTTGCCAGGCCATTTTTACCGAATTCTCCCTCAGTTCCATTTTGTGCATGCCCAGTTCAGGAATTTGGCACTGGCTCACCATACCCATTCGCCGGCAGGTTGGGGACTAGCAGTTGACAAAAATCATGGTTAGTTCGTCTCCCCTAAAAATGGATGCTACTAGCCCAAATGTCCAATGCCGAGGTGCTGATTTGGGTGCTTTCTGCTGGTGAAATGGAGTATGTACCAAGCGATACCATTAAGCCCGGGCAGTGAAGAGCTTCTTCTTGCTGCTAGTAAGAGCTTGGGCGAACGTCTTACTAGCTCGGGAGTTAGTCCCTATTTGATTCAACTTAGAATTATTATAATCTAAATTATTATGAGTAAATTGAAATAAACAGATAGCTTATTATGATATATTACTACAATCTATAAGCCAAATTACTATAATCTGACAATCCACTCTAAAGGTGCTTATTCTATGTCGGCTTATTATAATCCAACTTATAGTAATCTGACTCAATAATCTAGATTACAATAATCTTAAGCTGAAACAAACAGTGCCTTAGGCTTTGTTGCCCGCTTACAATATATATTTTTTATAAACGTTCTACAAATATTGATTTCATCCTGTGATTAAATCTTTATTTTTTATGATAACTTTAAGTTAATTAAATCAACTGAATCAAATGGTTACGATCTTTGTTACTGGGTAACAATATTTTAAGTACGCCTAACATTGGTCTTCTGGTATACCACTAATGTGTTTATCGGTCATTGCATGGTTTCGTTCATAACGTTACACACTATTTTATGGTTGCCGGCTGAGTACTGGAATTTCGTTAGAAGAACTTCTAAGTTTAAAATATGGTGCAAAACAAAGCTGGCAAGTGGCAACAACCGTAGACTCCAAGTCTTGGAGTGCAATGCGTAGCCAACCAGACAATCACCGACGCATGGGTAGATCAGCATCTGGACGGACTTGCTAGTGCTTCTCAGCTTAGCAACGACGCGTGTAAATTGCGGCCATATAGCCTATAGCAACATGCGAACTACCGCTTGCGTTTGCGTGGACAAAAAATGGTTTTCCATTTCACCTACTACGCGCAAGCAACCAACGGGCCAAAGCAAGCAGAGACGGTGGTAGTACTACGGTGAGCTGCGTGTGTGCTGTGCAGATGTAATGCATTTTTTCCACCGACATGAATTAACTAACGACATCAATTATCAGCGAGCATAATTGACACCCATATATGTATACTAATGCATGCACTGTTTGGTACTAATATAATATGGTTCCAATTTGATGATTAATATCATTGGCATGTGCAAACGTACATGATTATTACATCCACAAATTACTACATGAAGCCAGTATATTATAGATATTTAAATCCGAGTACCTAGGAAAATACCGTAAAATATTCGATGGAAGAGAGCAAGATATCCCTTCAAATAGCCTATTCTAACAGGGAATTCCTATATCTTAAAATTATTTTATTAAGTTGATGAGAAAATCCATAAACGCTCTACGGAGTACCAGTAGGAGAAATAGAAGTCAGTTTTTGACTATCCGATATAGTATACCCCAAGAGAGTTTTTACACTAGTTACAGTTTGCCTTGCAGTGGTAGTCACGGATTGTGGAGTTAAAAATCACGGCAAAATTGAAGTTATTACTCACCCGTGACCGTAGCACGGACGTACGCACGATTCCCTGCACCTGGGGGGGGGGGGGGGGGGGTCCTTGGGCCACGGCTGTTGCTGTTGCTGTTGCCGCTGTCCTCCAGCACAGAGCGATGCGAAATTGATTGTTCCAGGCTGGTGTTTTCTCCCACCCCTTCTTCCATAGTACCATACCTGCTTGGCTGCGTGCACCGCAGCAACGAGTGTACCCCAAACCACGTTATTGTGGATCGATCATGAGTGATTAGCCTTTTCACGGGAGGAATGCGTAAATAAATGATGGATAAACCTGCAGGCCAGTGTCGGTACCGCATTTAATTAGGGAATCATCGAGCTGTGGTTTATTATTAGTCGAGCGGAAGAAAAGGGATTTGTAGCGGCAACGGCAACGATAGCGGCATCGGCATCTTCTTTGCAAGTCTTGCAGTTGCTTGGAGCCACGTTCTGGAATCGGCACAGGAATATTTTGTCAGAATAAAGATGTAGATCCGCATCTAATAGTAGTCTTGAAAAAGAAAAAAAAGTAGTGGTATTACCAAGCCAAGAGAAGTTTCAGCATAGAGCAGGTAAATATAGGCAGTATGCCAGTAAATCCATCTCTTTCTTTGGCCTTCTAACAGCATGTGTGAAGCTGCTTTTTGAGAGGCATAGATAGATCTCATGATCTCATCAGCTAGAGCAAAGATGCCCAACACCATCATGGGAGTTTCAGCGCATCAGACCACGCCTCATCGCATCTTCTCATGCCATCTGCAGATGCAAATAACCAAATACTCTCCCCGTCTCTAAATATTTAACGCCGTTGACTTTTTTAAACATGTTTAACTGTTCGTCGTATTCAAAAACTTTTGTAAAATATGTAAAACTATATGTATATATAAAAGTATATATTTAACAATGAATCAAATGATAGGAAAAAAATTAATAATTATTTAAATTTTTTGAATAAAACGAACGGTTAAACATACTTAAAAAAGTCAACAGCGTTAAATATTAAATATTTAGTTAGTATGAAATATGCCTGACATCCTACAGGTTACAGCTAACAGGGGCAGGGCCGTGCCAATTGCCAAATCAAAATGCAGAGCAACAGGTTGCCTTCCGGACGCCGCATTAGGGCTTGAGAGTTCAATATTATGGTCGGCTGTCGGTAGAGGTTACAATTACACATGTCGCCTGGGAAAGCAAACTGAAGCATCGATCTTCAGGGATGAAATTTCTGCAGAAAAATGTTAAGTGGGAAACCAAAAGAGACCCGTCAGAACACTGATAATTGGTAACTGACGAGTACATGACTAACCTAGCCATATGTGCAAGATAAGAAGTACATGAAACATTCATGACAAATAAAACGTTTGCTTCCAAATGCCAGCAAATACAATAAAGTAGGTCGTATGTGGTCATACTTAGGCCCTGATTGGGGGAGCTTTTCCCAGCTACAGCTTTTCTCTTCTGCTAGAAACTGCCCCAAACAGTCCACAGCTTCTAAGAATCTGTACTTACAGATTCTGAAAAATAAATTAAGAAGCCAAAAGCTGGAGAAGCTGGGTTTCAGAGCTTTTCCAGATTCTCAGAAGCTGGCTACCAAACATCTGCTTCTCAGAATCTAAAGCTCCCCCAAACAGGCCCTGCAGGAAGATTGACATCTCCTGTCAGTATGTTGTGTTGTAGCAGCTATTACCACTAGAGTTTCTACAGCAATCAGTATAACCTTCAGAATCTTAATGAAACCTTTGCTGAATTCAGGCATGAACTTTGATGTTCATATTGCAATATAAATGAGCAATACAGCTTAATTAATTTAGTAGATCTAACTAACAAATAATGAAAAACAATAATGAGGCTCATCTTGCTTTGCTTTGGACAACTTTTTCATATCTTTGGACCATCAAGAAAGAAAAATGCATATTAGCTTACATGTCTTCGAATTGACATTGACAGATTAGCTTTATAACTTTATATGTAGCCCTCATTAATCATTTGAAATCAAACATTGAATACCATTGGAAGTCTCAATGCACTTTCACTAAAATATGAATAGAAGATCCATGTGATGCTATTAAAAGCAACAAATAAAATGTAGTACTAATAGAAATGCACCTCACAGATCAAGACAGTAATATTTCTTTCATCATCAAAATATACTCCAAACATATTTTTCTTCAGCGAGCGGACAGCGAGTAATATAGAACACATTTTAATTAGTCAACATGAGCACAGCGAGCGATGCAGCCCAGTACATCTTCATTGACTACAAACATATACATCAGTTTTCCACTTCTTTCTTCTGCCAATATACAAGAATTTTTCGTATTTTCAGAAGAGAGATGAAGAGACAAGTCAATGTAAAATATTTCCTAGAAGACAAGTACCAAATGGTATATATTTTGAACCATTAACTTTAATTATATCAGCTTGTACCATGCATAAACATTTGAAAAGAAACATACACATGTAACACATTGTTTACAGGAAAAACTTCCACCCGATCAGATTCAAAATGCTACAGGCACCATATACTAAAACAAGGCGGCTCATCTATCTGGGTTGGAGGTTTAACAAATATGAATATCTCAGCAAATTGAGCAGACAAACTAACTATATACCATTGTCAGTGTTCTCTTCCTTATTCAGAAAACAATTAATCCGTGTGTTTCTGCTTTGAAATACAAGTCACCAACGTCAACAGGTTAGTGTTATCTGGTAGTCATGCTCAATAATACGAAGAATATATTCTATTTATCAACTATCTTTGAGTGTACTTTGCTATAACTTCAAACAAATTTTGCTGTTCTTGTTTAGAATATCCAGGATGAAGCTGAGGAAGGTTGCTAACAAATATTTTGGCATCAGTCAACTTTCCATTCCTACAATAGCCCTCCACTATTGAATTGTAAGTTCTCTCATTGGGCTTGCAACCTTGAGTGACCATATAGCGTACTAACTCAATAGCTTCCTCAAACATTGAGTTGGAGACATAACTCTTGACAAAAATATTGTATGTTACAACATCTGGTTTCAGACCTGAACATTTCATCTCAGAGAACAATCTTGATGCTTCTTTCATCTGTCCTTTTCTTCCATATGCATAGATCACAGTGTTATAAGAATATCTATCAGGGCGCACACCACTTGACTTGATCTCAGTGAGAATATTTTCACACTTTTCACAATCACCTAAACGAGAATACATATGCATCAAGCTATTGTAGGTAGCAGCACTGAGGTTGATAGCACTTTCCTTCATCAGTGAAAGAATCTTCTCAACCTTCCTGACCATCCTGTTTTTCCCATATATGGAAACCATGGCATTAAGAACATTAATATCCAATGAACACCGCTTCTGTCTTAGTTCCAGGAAAGCCTTTTCGGCCTCAGCTAAATTATTAACTTTGCTGTTGACCAAGACCAATGTTTTCACTAGCCAATTATGTGGTTCTATCCTCTCTGAATATATATCATCTGATAAAGCTTTCATTTTGTCTAACCTCTTTGCATTTGCATACGCATGAAGCAATGAAGAATAACTATACTCATCTGGCTTACAATCTCGCTCCTCCATCTCAGCAAACAACTTTTCTGCTTGTTCCCAACGCCCACCACGAGCCAGGGCAGACAGAACAGCATTATAAGTTGAAACATCAGGGTATATACCGGCTTCCATCATCCTCTTGTATATCTGCATTGCTAGGTCAAACAAACCACATCGACTATACGAACTAATAAGTGAAACATACGTATCCCTCTCAGGGATGTAACCAGCTTTCTTCATCTCCTTGAACACCCCAGACACTTCAGAATCCAAACCATTCTGCCCAAACACAGCTAAGAGCGTGTTCCAGGTCACAATATCCGGCACAAAACCAGCAGACCTGAACTCATCAAAGACAGCCATCATCTCTGGGAACTTCCCCCTCACCCCATGCATCTTGATCAATGCATTGTATGTGCACAGGTTTGGCTTGCATCCGTTCCTCACCATTTCATCATATTCCACAATTGCTGCATCAATTTTGCCAGCTCTGTCAAGGCCAGAGATCAATGTCGTGTATGTCACCACATCTGGCTTCATTCCCTTCACCTCCATCTCCTGCTTGAGCGCAACTGCCTGTTCCAACAACCCATCCTTCACATACGACGAAATGAGTGAGTTGTAGGTCACCACACTGGGTGGGCAGCCCACACGCTCCATCTCCTGGATCACCTCAATTGCTTCGTCGTGCCTTCGCGCCTTACCATATACATCGAGCAGCGAATTGAATGTGACCTTGTCAGGTTCGAACCCAGAAGCCTTCATTTCATCGAACACCTGTGCTGCCTCCTTGTAAAGCGCCCTACGGCGGCAACAGCTGATGAGCGTGTTATACGTATACCTATCCGGCGCGACGCCGTGTTCCTTCATAGAGGCGACGAGCTCCACCACCTCCTTCCATGGAACGGCCATCTTGGAGTACACGTGGAGCACGACGTTGTAGGTGACGATGGCGGGCTGGACTCCGCTGTCCACCATGCGCCTGAACACGGCGACCGCGTCCCGGAACCGGCCGGCCCGGGAGAACGCGGAGACGAGGGCCGTGTACGCGCCGGCGTCGGGGCCCGGCGCGGCGTCGAGGAGCGCGGATGCCTCGGCGAGGCGCCCCGCGCGCGCCATGACGCGGATGGCGGTGGCGAGGACGCGCGGGTGGTGGAGCACGCCCTCGCCGTGGAGCTCGCGCGCGGCGTGGAGGGCGGCGAGCGCGGCGCCCGGCTGGCCGCGTGAGCCGAGGGCGCCTACCACGGCAGCCAGCTCGGGCGCGGGGAGCCCTGACAGGAGGTCCCGCGGGGAGGTGGCGCGCCCCGGATCGTCGAGGAGGGCGAGCAGCGCTCGGCGCGCCGGGAGTGAGAGTGACGGCGGGAGGTGCCATGGCTGCTGTCCTCCTCCTCCTGGGCGGCCGAGGCGGGGCTTGCGGGAGGTGGAGGAAGACGGCGCGGGGTGGGAGGACGAGAGGAGGGAGAAGATGCGGGGAGGAGGGGAGGAGTGCGCGGAGGCCTGGGAGATGGGGGAAGACGGCGGCGGGGCGGGCGCGCGGAGAGGGAGAGGGAAGGCGAGCGTGTCGGCCATGGCGGAGGCGGGGGGATTCGCCGGGGTTTAGGGGTTATGGACGCCGGCGGGGTGGTCGCCGCCGTGGATGGAGGAGGATTGGGTGGACGTGGGCAACTCCGCGGTTTGGATGGATTGGAGATTTGGAGATGGCGGGTGGTGGTAGTGGGCCGGGGAGGGGACGGGCTGAAGTGATGGTGGGCTCTTGCGTAGTGGGCATCACTGGGCGGGGTTGGGAACGTGACTACGGGCTACTGGGCCTAATACAGCCTAAGACGAGGGCCCCGTTTGATTTGAGGGATAAGTCCATTTTACCATCCTAAACTCTTCGCTTTGTCTAAAATACACCCTCAAACTTCAAAACCGGGTATTTAACACCCTTAAACTTTCAGTACCGTTCATTTTTCATCCCTAATGGTTTGTAGGGCAGTATTGGTACAGTAGGATGCCACGGGGTTGGTGGCGAACTCGACGCGGTCTAGATCTAGGGGCTAGAGGCATCGATGGCGTGGGAGAGGTTGAAAGAACGGGAGCTGGGCTGCAGTGGAAGACGAGCGGACGGGAGTGGAGGTCCGCATGTCCGTCGAGGCGGAGTTCGAGCTTACCTGACCTGCCCCAAGTTGAGCATGCGATGGAACTCGGGGAGACAATGGCGACGGTCGAATTTTTTCCTTGCTGCTACCGTGGATCAATCTTTCCTCCATTGGACAAAGTTGGTTTTTTCTTTCTGCGAGCTAGTAGAATGGATCGATTGGTTCAGAATCGATTTTTCCCTTTGTGCAGGCATTGATGGACTGGTAAGCGACTCACTTCCGTTGTTTAGGTGAGCAATCGAGTCGAAGAAGCAGATCATCTGTCTCATGCAGTCCTACCCGAATGCGGCAAGGGAAGAGGACACGCAGCTGTAGCTCAGAGCTCGAGCTCCAGGCAAGGACAGCCACGAGACAGAGTTTGGCACATGCCGACAGAGGTGGAGCTCCACATGCGCGGCGGAGGCCGATGAGGAACACTCGGGTCTCAGGGAGGCACGGATCTCAAGCTTGAGCTCACCTGTGCCGAGATACCAAAGGAAGGGCTCGGGAATGTGCCGCTCAACCTTGACCTCGCCTGCGCCAAGCTGCCGGAGAGTGAGGCGTAGTTCGTTCTGCTCCAGTAGAGAGAAGGAAGAAAGGAAAAATGACAGGTGGTCCTAGGTTGACTGGATTGCCTCCTAAGAAAAAACCAGAGCGGTTTGGATGAGGGGTATAAATTGCATGGTTTTAAGAGATGAGGGGCGTCTAATACCCGATTTTAAAGTTAAGGGTGTATTTTAGATAAATATAATAGTTGAGGGGTGTAAAATGGACTTATCCCGATTTGAACGGACTATTATACCATGGATTGTCTACAAATTAATTATTTTTATAAATAGAATTTTCAGAAATAGCTTAGAACAAATGCTCTAAATAGTGCAGTAGAATAATGATTTCGAGGAAATGTTATTTTCTGTGAGTTTTTGAAGTTACCAGCTTTTAGTGTTTTTTAAGATAAGGGGAAGAGTTTTGTTAAAAATAAAATTAAATCCGACCCAACTAGGGATGCACAAAAGTCTAGAAAAATAAAATAGAAAAAAACACTAAGACAAACCTAAACATATCATGTTGTCTTGTAGCAGCTCACTCAAATAGAACCAAGACAAGAGGTTAATCCTAGTTATTTACTCCGAAACAACGCCCTCGAGAAATACATGACATTTTGTCTGCCGCTGCTATTGGAACACAAGGCTAGATTGTTATTCGAAGCCTGACATCACACCTTCAACAAAGGAATAACACACAAGCAGCGATGTTGTGGAATCATTAGGTTTTCACTCTGGAGTGATTGCTAGTACTCTGTGCCATCATCTGGATGGACTTAGCACAATCCACTCACAATCTGATCATAACCACAATTCCACAAAACCGCCTTTAGCATTCGCTGACCAAGCAACCAATATATCAGATTGCTAACTATACAGACCAAGCAGTACCAATGTGTAGCCACCAAGGACAAAGTACTAGCCTACTGGATCTGCCACCACCAAGCGAATGAAAGAAGCCATCATCGAACCGGACTACCGAAAACATGAATAAAATTATCGCTGAACAGATCAGTATGGAACTTATTGGCACAACCGGATAAGAGGGTGCCATTGCGCCCTTCATCAGCTAGACCAATATCCCTTCTTGGATCACGTTCGGATTGATGTGATGTCCTCCGCATTGCATGTTTATCGACCCAAACAAAGCGGATTGCCGGTTGGAAGAGAGGATCAGCGGTGAAGGGGTGTCCTTGCTAACTACCGATTCAACTCCTCCGACATCCATGGCGAGCACGGTCACAACAGCGATCGACCGATCTTCCTGCTAATTCGCACATGGTGTTGATCTCTCCGATCTACTTCATCGTGGTGTTGGGCGGTAAAAAAAACTACCACCATCGTCACCAACGGCGGCGGCGGAGGCAGAACAGGCGTTGAGGCAGCTGGCGACGACTAGGGCTGCTGAGGCTCCTTTGGAGTCACCCACGGGAGGCAACCTGAGAGGTCCGCGTGTGCCAGATTTTACTGTGACAGGGGTATTAAGGATATGTTAAACTAGGGAATTTTAATGTGCCAGATTTAGACCAGTGCGTGTTTTTCGCGTCAACACATGGGAATTTTAAGAGCTCTAATCCAATGTTTAAAATAGCGGGTCTAATAATTTAAGTAAAAATTCAAGGTTGGATGGTTTTCTTTTTTTACTCTAAATTTCTAGGATTTCTCTAATTTTATTAGAGCGTCACGCGATAATGTAGTAGTGTTTACAAGACATTTAATAGAATTTTAGTATATAATAGATTTCTAGGGTTTCTCTAATTTATTTGAGAGAAAGTTTAATGTAATTTTAGTATATAACAGATAGATTTAGAAGATGGTTTAAAAGAACATTGATTGGATATTTCTTATAGTTCTTAATTTAACTAAATATATTTATATTTGGGAAGTAATATATTTTATCTTTATATTGTAGAAATTCATATTTGAATGTATGTTTTTTCTGTCTGTTTTATGTACATGTATATGTTTTTTCTTCCAGCGAAGATTAGGAAAATTTTGTTTTCAATCATGTACAACGTTTGTACGTACGGAAAGAAAGCAGTGGCATTTGTAACGTGCAAACTCATTCGTACATGAGGAAGTTATTATTTTTTAATCTAATGATGTAAAATAATGGATCCATCAATTTAAGTGAAAATTAACGATGAGATTAGATAGTGCATGTGGTGACTTAGGAGCGTTCGTAGGAGTGCCATGTAGCGGCTTAAGATCGTTTGTAAGAAGTTTAATGGATTTTTAGTATATAAAAGATTATAGGGGAGGTTCATTACTTTCGATTGGTCAACAACGCAAGCAACTAACTAACAAACTAACAATAGAGTCATAACATGCAATGCAAATTAATGTATGGATCACCTGATTAATTGGGTCGTCGTTCCATTCCCAGCCGATCGATCGCTTCAACCATTCGATATATATAGCTGCCCTAAGCAGGATCGGTTATTTATCGATCGATTGATTGATGTGTGGTTATGGCCAGCGGTGTGGTGATGGTGATGGTAGTGGTGACGGCGACAGCGATGGCGATGGCGGTGCAGGGGAGCCGTCACTCGGATTTCTTCGTGGAGGGCGAGGTGTACTGCGACACGTGCCGTGCCGGGTTCGTGACGAACGTGACGACGGCGATCCAGGCCGCGCGGGTGCGGCTGGAGTGCCGGCACTACATGAGCGCGAGCGGGTCGGTGGAGAGATCGGCGGAGGGGACAACGGACGCGACGGGGCACTACCGCATGGAGCTGGTGGAGGTGGACAACCGCGGTGCCGAGTTGGTGTGCGCGGTGGCGCTGCTCAGCAGCCCGGTGACCGAATGCCACGAGATGGAGGTGGGTCGCGACCGCGCGCCGGTCACCCTCGTTCAGGACGTCGGCCTCGCCACCATGGTCCGCCGCGCCAATCCTCTCGGCTTCCTCCAGACTATGTTAGCTAGATACGCTGATACGGATACGCGATACGTGGATACGAAGATGTGGCATTTGTGAAAAACTAAGGATACGGGGATACGTCTATATATATATTAACAATATAAAAATTTAATATATAAATTTATGAACTCTTGCATGGAAATAAGCTCGTATAATGTCATGGAAATATTTTCTAATAATTGTAATTGACTAAGGTTGGTGAAGCGATTTAACCCCGAGAATGATGATGCAGACTGAAGACTGCCAACTTGCCAATAACTTGCCAACAGGTTTATTCCAAGAGTGTAATGAACATACACGTCGAGAGTGTTAGATGCATTAGCACTTGATATTCCAATCCGAAATTTCATCCGATCTAAAAGTAGCACTTTGTACCAAGAAAATAGAAAGAGGGACAAGAAGTTAAAAAAGAAAAAGAAAATCATTGCTAACACTAGCATAGCTGCATGGGAGAGGCCAACAACTGAATCGACCGATGGAACTTGCTTGCCTCACTGCTGAAGTAAGTGGTTGCCTGGTTGGAGATGGCGCCGGCGGCGGACGGCGGTGCTATGCCTGGCGGCGGCAGCACTGCATTCAGCATCCGGTGTTACGCCCGCATATGGCGACGGCGCACAACTCTGCGATTGGCGTCCGTCAGCGGCAGCGGCGCTAGGAGTCGCGAGCCGCGTGGGGTGTCGGGCCATATGCGAGAACCACGGAAGCGACGAACGGCGTGGAGTTGCAGGATAAAGCGATGTTTAGTTCTCTCGATCGTATCCAGAAGGTATCTCAACGTATCGGGGGAGTATCCAGATTTTTTTTTTGATTTTTCTGAAAATCACCAATATCGCCGATACACATGGGATACGTATCCGATACGTATCCGTATCCTTCCACGTATCAGATACGGATACGTAGCTTTTGGGAAGTATCCAGGTAATGTAGCCTCCAGACCCGCCCACTCCCCATCTGCGGTGACCTTCTCAAGAGCTACGCGCTCGGCACCGCACCAAGCTACTAGCTACCTCATACAGTGCTCCCTTTATTATTATTTCCTCTTCTTGCTTTTATATTTATATTATATCCGTGCGTTGTAATGGGTGAAAAGATTCTAATGATAATATATGTTTTTCATGTATAATCATGTTAATGACAATGTTTGTATTTTAATGAGTGGTTTGTTTTTTTATAAACGGTGTTTTTTTTCTTGCGTGATTTTCTCAAACCATTTTTTTAGAAATGGCGTATTTCTTTCAAATATTTTTTTCATAGCATGTTTTTTTTTGCATTTTTTACTGACGACAAAAACCATATTTTTTCTCCCTTTTTTTCTTTTATTTTTTTGTGTTTTTTGCCTGTTTTTTCAAACAATTATTTTCTCGCGCTTTTTTTTTGCTTGTTTTTTCAAATGTCCTTTTTTGCTTTTTTTTTTCAATACAGGAGAATATATGACGAAATAAAAGCCGTATAGTAGATGGCAAAAAATCGATGGATCCTATCCGAGTCAAGCATCCATCAATTTAGTATTTTCTCTGACAGTTTTTTCAAAGCGATTTGTTTTTTAATAGACGGTGTTTTTTTTGCACGGTTTTTTCAAACCATTTTTTAGAAATGGCACGTTTTTTCTGACCGTTTTTTTCTCGCGCATTTTTTTATTTGTTTTATGGAAGATGGAAAACATTTTTTAGCGTTTTTTTGCGCTTTTTCTGACTTTTTTCTCACACGTTTTATTGAACGGTTTTTATTTTCTCGTGCATTTTCTATTTTTAAATAGTTAGATTAGATTAGAGATAGAGAAGAGATATATAGTAATTAGAAATCGCACCACTATGTTTCGCACTTTCCATTTTTTTCTCGCGTGCATTTTTTATTTTATACGAACCAACTTCTTATTTTTTAGGAACCATTTTTGTCGTCACATTTTTCGCCTTTAAAGGAATCACATTTTTTTTCTCTTTTTTTCTGTTTTAAAGGAATTGGATCTAGTGTTTTTTGCACCACTTTTTTTTTGCCGACAAAAAAAACCAGGCGAAAAAAATTTGTCCGATCCAAAACAAAACGGGCGAAAAACCGGGCGAAAAAAGAAAAGAAAAATCAAATCTGTCTGATCAAAAAACGGGCGAAAAAAAGAAAAGGAAAACAAATCCGATTCCACGGTAAAAAAGGGCGAAAAGAAATAAAAAAGGAATCTGTCTGATTCCTAAAAAAACGGGCGCAAAAAAAAACCAGGTGAAAAAAAAGTCCGGCCAAAAAAACGAATCCGCGTGGACGCAGTAAAAAAAGAGCAAAAATATTAAAAAAACAAATCTGTCGGAGTAAAAAAAAAGAATTATATGCGACGTGGTAAAAAAAAAATCGAATCCTAATATATTTGACGCGGTACTATATATCTCTATCTTCTCTATCTCTGCTACTTAAAAAATTAAAAACATTTCCTATGTCCATAATAACAAAAAAAGGGCGAAAAAAACATTAAAACAAAAAAAAAGTTCGATTCAATTTACTTCCGTTGTCCGTGAAAATCTTATCTTATCTTAATCTCAATACTACTTATATATATATATATATACTACTTAAAAAATAAAAGAAATTTCCGTCGTCCGTTGGGAAAAAAACTGATAAAAACAAAAGATCGGAAAAAAAAAGTCCGACTCCTCCAATGGAAAAAAAAGGAGAGAAAAAACAAAAAACGAAGAGAAAAAAACTTCCATCGCAAAAAAAAGATGTCCGACTCTAAAAAAAATCCGACTCCTCGGCGGAGAAAAATAAAGGCGAGAAAAAACAAAATAAGAGAAAAAAACTTCTACTATAAAAAAGAAAAAAAAGGTCCTCCGTCCCCGCCTGTGCGATGAAACGCCAGCAAAAAAAAAAGAAATTGAGGAAAGGGATAAACTAGATTGAAGTTCCCAAAATTAAAAGAGGATAAACGATATTGAAACTCCCATAACTCGAAAAGAGGGAATAAAATATATTGAAATTTCTCGACAAAATTCTCTAAATTCGAAGAACCCTAATTTCGGGTAAGAACCATAAGAGTCAAATCCAAATCAATTATGCTAAGGGTTCGGGTTACTTACCGGATTTGAAGCCCGTGAGCTCACCGGAGCTTTCTGGGAAGCGGCATCGCCGCACCTTCACCTCCTCGCAGTCGTGTCGGGTTCCCTGCGCGCGCGCTGTCCTGGAGCACCCCTCCACCGTCCTTTGCCGAAGACGGGAAGCGTCGGCTTGGCATCGCCCCTACCGCCGACGAGGTCCAGGCCGCTTGGCGCTCGTCGCCGTTTGCACGCCCACCTAGCCGGACCGCCGACGTCGTGGCACGGCTTTGCGCCGCCCTTGGGTGCGCCTCCTAGCCGGCGAAGCAGGAGCCGCTCAGTGGTCGTCGCTGCACGCGCGCACCAGCTTGCCGGACCACCGTCGTTCCGCTCACTCGTCGCCGGAGAGAAATGGGATCAAGAGAGATGGATTTGGGACCTAGGGTTTTGCCCCTCTCCCCGGTCGATGCTTCATTCGTCGCGGGGATGATTGGAGCCGTCCATTAGATTGGACGGCTCAGATTCGCCCAGCATTAGGCCGTCGCCGCCGTTGATTACGCTGCGCCCAATGGGCCGCAGAAGTGTATCGGTCCGTCCCCGCATATGTGGGCCGCGCTCAGTTGCTCAGCTTGCGGGCCGTCGAATTGACTCAACTCACCAAAGATGGGCTAGCCCAAGTTTGGGCCGGCTTGGGAAGACCTGGGCCGAAAGCAAATTTGATCAAACAATGTGGCTCACATTTTTCAAATTAAAGTCCATTGGATAAACTCTTAAGTAGGCTCGAAAAATAAATCTAAAACTAAATCCTAAATCCATGCTAATTGATAAAATTAGACTCGGTTCTACCTATTTGTTAATATATCAAATTAGACTTGATTTTTACAGAATTGAGGTTTTCAAGGTGTCACACTATCAAACGGTGTTTTTCCTGTAGCAACGCACGGGCACTATTGCTAGTTAGAAATAATGTGTAAGATAGCTAGACGACGATATAAACTTACATAAGGTGATGTGGTTTATCATAATTTAAATAGTATATAGAATGATGATCCAAATGTAAAAGTAATATGATGTGGCTTTATGAGAGAAGATAATGAGGGAGATAATTGCGACCATAGATTAATAATTTGATGGCTAGAAACAATTTGAGGTGATATGGCTTAATGAGAAAAGAGAGAAATAACATTAACTAAGTGAGGATGAATTGTCTAGGTATATAGATATTATACAAAATGATGGGGAGATATATTGAAATATTTTGAGAATTATGTGGAATGATGATTTAACATGCTCGGATTTTTAAAGCTCTAAAATTTTAGTGAGGGTGAACTATATAGGCATATAGGATATTATAAAAAGTGATGGAGAAATATATTGAAATATTATGTGAATTATGTGTGATGATAATTTAATTATCATGCTTGTATTTTAAAGCTCTAAAACTTAATAAATTAGCATGCTTACATGAGGTTTGAGATGTAATAATTGTTAGTGGATAATGTGGCATCTTTGCATGTTGAGCTTTAGAATTTAGAAGACCTTAACTTTATAGAAAGATAGGATATTAAGATAATGGAAAATGTATTTCATCTCCAGACTCCGGTTATATCTACCCTATAGTTCAACAAATACTTTCACTCATCACTCATCACTCATTCTTTCATCTACCCTAAAGTTTAACAAATACTTTCACTCATCACTCACCACTCATTCTTTCATGCCTCACTCAACGGTCTAGATTATCCGATTGAGATCTGACGGCCGGAATAGCTCCCGCGTAATCTCGCCCATGCGCCCCAAAATTTCGCCCTTTTTTCATCCCGATCGATTCTAGATCGCGAAAAAATCCGGCCCCTATCAGTTCGCTTTTTTTCTAATATAAGTCAAAACGGTAATAAGCCAAAACGGTTTATTAGGGAATAAAAATAAATTTGTAGGTAAAACTTATATATATATATATATATATATATATATATATATATATATATATATATATATATATATATGTTCTTTGTAACTTAAAAGCCAATGCTGAAAAAGAAACTACGTAGAAAATATCTTAAAATCAATCTTAAAATTAAGTTTGAAAATTTAAAATTTGGCTTATTGGGCCGCCCTCGGCGCCGCCGCTCCCTCGCAGCCTCGCCCTTCACCTCTCCGCTGACGCCGCCCGTGCCTCACCACCTCTGTCGTTCCACCGCGCCACTACGGCTCCTCCCTCCCCATCGTCCCCATCGCCCCCTCGCCGCGCCACTTCCCCATCGGCCGCCCCGATGCACGCCGCGTCCCCCCGCGCCACTACGACGCCTCCCTCCCCGGTGTCCCCATCCCCCCCCCCTCGCCGCACCACTTCCCCATCCGCCGCCCCGATGCACGCCGTCGCGTCGCCCGCGCCTCACCGCCCCCGGCGTCCCCCGCACCAGCGGCAGAATGGCGCAGGCCACTTCATGTTCCCCAGGTACTTCGAATCTGAGGCCTCCTGGTTGTGGAACAAGGAATCACTAGCACCCTCCTCCCTCTCTGCTCTACTCTTCTTCTTGCAAATGGCTGCTTCTGGATTCCTGTGTCCTGCCTGATGCTTGCTTGCTTGTGCTTTGCAAAGGATTAACGCCTAGACGTCGTGCATTGGATCTGGCAGGAGTGCAATTGAATTCCTCATGCTACTCATTTCAGATGATTCAGCCACCTGTAGAAAATGTTGAGTGCATGATAAAAAAAAACTAAATTTTCCTGTTGTTTACTTGTAAATTGGGATTTGCACTACAGCAATCTACAAAATCTACATTTTTCTTATCTGTTGGAATGGGGCGGTGTGGATTTTTGGTTAATTTTTCCAACGGCAGGATTTTAGCTCGATGATACATCACGGCAGATGCACTTGGTTCTGTTCAGGAAAGATTAACTATGCATTCTTTATTTACTGATTAATATTAGTATGCTTTACATTCTAGCGTGTGAAACTGTTAATGTTAGTACTGCATTTCCTTTA